TAATTAGGTAAAACAAGATGTGTTTGTGGAACACTGATGCCTACGTATGGCAACTTATAGCGAAATGCAAATCAAATATGTTGGTACCCAAAGTAAAGTCTTGTCTCGAGGAATATACCTGTGAAATATGAAGCCCCAGCAGCAACAATTAAATAGATATGAAGAAGGTTAAAGTTTTTTCAAAAGTAAGTCAACATCAAGGTCAAAATTAATGGTGCCCAAGGAAAGGCCTTCTCACAAGAAATACACATGTGAAATATGAAAGCTCTAGCACCAACCGTTCAAAAGTTTGACCAAGGTTAAAGTTTTTCAAAAGTAGGTCAGACCCCAAGGTCAAGGTCAAAGGGTCAAATATGATGGTACCCATGTGAAATATGAAAGCCATAGTTCCAGCCAATCAAAAGTTATGGGCAATGTTAAAGTTCCAGCCAATCAAAAGTTATGGGCAATGTTAAAGTTTTTGCGGACAAACAGACAGACAGATAAACAATATATCCCCGAATCTTTGATTACAGAGGCATAAAAAAGATACGTGTACATGGACTTTATCCCTGAAATACTTCTGAACTCTGCTACAATGTGTGGGATCCAAACGGATTCTAAGAGTGATATCTTTCTTCCAAAACAGTATTCTTAAAAACGCACTGTTTATTGTCCCCCGCTTTCGTGAAAGCGAGGGCACGTTAAATCTCATTCATCTGTCAGCATGTCCGTCCGTCAGTCTGTCTGTCACAAACACTTTAACCTTTGTCATAACTTTTGAATGAGAAAAGATAAGGTTGTCATATTTCACATGTACATTACCTGTGACAAGACCTTTCCAAATTTGACCCGTGACCAAGACCTTGAAGCTTGACCTGCTTTTCAAACATTTAACATTACTTTTACTTTTCTCATAATTTTTGAATGAAAAAAGACAGGGATTTCATATTTCACACGTACATTACCTGTGACAAGACCTTTCAAACTGTACTATGATTTCTGACCCGTGATTTTGACCTTGAAGTTTGACATACATGTAATTTTCAAAATTTTATCATTGCTGCAAACTTTAGAAGGAGAGAATTGGGTCAATTAATCATCCAATTATATAGAACATTTCTATGGGTCTCTTCACCAAATGCCTTTTTTCCAAATATTAAATTCTTTATATTCTAATTATGAAAAATGATACATTTTTATGCCCCCGTATCGAAGATTCGGGGGTATATAGTTTTTGCCCTCTCCGTCCGTCTGTCTGTCTGTTTGTCTGCAAAAACTTTAACCTTGCCCATAACTTTTGACTGGTTGGAGCTATGGCTTTCATATTTCACATGTGTATTCCATGTGACAAGACCTTTCTTTGGATACCAGCATATTTGACCTTTTGACCTTGGAGTTTGACCCAGTTTTGCAAACTTTTACCAAACTTTAACCTTGGCCATAACTTTTGAAGAATTGGTGTCAGGGCTTTCATATTTAAGGTGTTAAATGTGAATGACAAGTCCTTCCTTTGGATACCAACAACTTTGACCCTTTGACCTTGACCTTGGAGTTTGACCTACTTTTGGAAAACTTTAACCTTGGTCATAACTTTTGAACAGTTGGTGCTAGGGCTTTCATACTTCACATATGTAATCCTTGAGACAAGACCTTCCTTTGGATACCAACAACTATGACCCTTTGATCTTGACCTTGGAGATTGGAAAACTTTAACCTTGGTCATAACTTTTGAACGATTGGTGCTTCGGCTTTCATATTTCACCTGTGTATTTCTTGGGAGAAGGCCCTTCCTTGGGCACCATTAATTTTGTTCATTTGACCTTGACCTTGATGTTTGACCCACTTTTGAAAAAACTTTAACCTTTTCCATATCTATTCAACGGTTGCTGCTAGGGCTTTCATATTTCACAGGTTTATTCCTCGAGACAAGACCTTACTTTGGGTACCAACGTATTTGATTTGCATTAGAGAAAGTTTAACCTTTGCTATAAGTTGCCATACGGGGGCATCAGTGTTTCACAAACACATCTTGTTTCCATAGGCTTTTACATTTAATTAATTAGGTCATATCTATCAATTTTTTAAAGAGATATTTTTATGCCCCCGTATCGAAGATTCGGGGGTATATAGTTTTTGCCTTGTCCGTCCGTCTGTCTGTCTGTCTGTTTAGGTGTTTGTCCGCAAAAACGTAAATATTGCTCATAACTTTTGATTGGTTGGAGCTATGGCTTTCATAATTTACAGGTGTATTTCATGTGACAAGACCTTTCTTTGGATACCACCATATTTGACCTTTTGACCTTGACCTTTGAGTTTGACCCAGTTTTGCAAAATTTTACCAAACTTTAACCTTGGCCATAACTTTTGAAGAATTGGTGCTAGGGCTTTCATATTTAAGGTGTTAAATGTGAATGACAAGACCTTCCTTTGGATACCAACAACTTTGACCCTTTGACCTTGACCTTGGAGTTTGACCTACTTTTGGAAAACTTAAACCTTGGCCATAACTTTTGAACAGTTGGTACTTACTCAAACCTTGGACGTTACTTTTGAGCAATTGGTCCTAGGGCTTTGATACTTCCCATATGTAATCCTTGGGACAAGACCTTACTTTGGATATTAACAATTTTAACCCTTTGACCTTGACCTTGGAGTTTGACCTACTTTTAAAAACCTTTGACCTTGGCCTTATCTGTTGAACGATTGATGCTAGGGTTTTCATATTTCACATGTGTATTTCTTGTAGGTAGGCCTTTCCTTGGGCACCATTTATTTTGACCATTTGACCTTGTCCTTGATGTTTGACTTACTTTTGAAAAACTCTAACCTTTTCTATATCTTTTCATGGTTGCTGCCAGGGCTTTCATTTTTCACAAGTATATTCTTCGGTACGAGACCTGTTTATGGCCTGGACATGTCCGTCTTCCATCATTCCGTCCCTCTGTCTTTCGGTCTTCCATCTCTCCGTCCGACACATTCTGCGTTAGCTCAGTTTAGAAAAAAAAAACTTTTAAGATATTTTATCAAACTTTAAACAAAGATACCAGTAAGTTAAAGTTAAATCCCCTTTCTCACCATAACGCTCATAGGCCCGGTGCTCATACCCGGTTTCTGTGGTGCTAAGCAGATGAAAGTCATTCACTCCCCCCACCCCTTGGATAGAACACCAGTTCTATATTTTTATCGAACTTCATAGCTGATCAATACAAATCGTTGTGACATGCAGGCACTTGTTTCTGTGATGGATTTTTAACCCATAGTATAATAATTAATTTATACTATGGGATGAAAGATTTATCATAGAAACAAGTGCCTGTGGTCATGTTTGTCGACCTTGATTTTTCTGCGTCCCTAACTTCATTTTTCAAGATAAATCAAACTACAGGCAAGGGTACACAATGGTGAGAGCGATTCAACTGAGTTTTAAATTTTTAAATTTCTGACTTTTGCCTTTCTTTTAACCTTGAACTTAACTCTTTCCTCTTAGATCATTTTATTGAATTCCATAAAGGATTACATCACACAACTCCATTACGGCATACACAGAAAATCTCTACAATACAAGAGCGTTCAATACATGGAGGGGGGGGGGCATATAGAATACTTTTGTTGGAACAAATTGCACAGTGTATAGTGTGTGTGTTGTTTAAACTCCAATACTAGTATCTTGTTTAACAATAGATGAGAAGATGAAGGATATAGTAACATAATTCATTGATATGCACCCTAAAACTTAAAGTGCAATTTCAAATATTTTTTTTGAATTTCGTCATTTTATACACTTTATTCCTACCATATGAAGGAAAGGGGTTCTTTTTCATACAAAGATGATCAATAAAAAAAATCATGCTACATGTAATTTTAAGAGATGCCATAAAAAAAATGTTGTTTATGAAATTTTTACATGGCAGGAACTTTATTTTCAAGTGACATTATATAAATTACAGCGAAAAATTCAGCGAGAAAGGTAAATTACTTTATTTATAAACTTTTATTGATGCAACTAAGTTTCAGTCTCTCTAATCTTCATGCACTAATCCTATGTTAAATTTGGAGACAAATTGACATCTTTAGAGATATATCCATTAATTATAGCTAATGACCTAGCTCTGCGATGGTAATTGACATAAAACTCATTTCTGTTACCTATTTATACAGTATATCTATGAAATAGAAAATTACTGAACTGCTAATAGCTCTGATCTTTTGAACTTTTCTTTCTTTTAAAAATGTATGAGGACTAATTGCAGGATTTTTTAATCGAATAATTTAAAAGGTCATAAGAAAAGAGCACCTGCTCATATTCGTTAATAGATGTAAAATTTACTTTAAAAATAAATGTACGATAAATATCAACCAGAAATAAAATTTAATAAAGACAAGAGTACATCAAAGAAGATGAATGAAATGCCGCTTGGCCAATGTGTTTGACTTTAAACACTGCTGAAGCACTGTAATTTGTAAATTTTGTGAAAAAGGTAATGTACAAATTTTGTAATCAAAATCAACGAAAAGTTTTGGAGTCACTTTATGGGTAAATTCATACCTTGTAAAAAGGTAATGTACAAATTTTGTAATCCAAATAAAAAAAAGATTTGGAGTCACTTTATGGGAAAATTCCAATCAATTTCCTTGAGCAATGTATATTTCAGCAGAATGTTTTCACAAATGATTTCATATGTCATTTTAAACTGTAAATGCGATGTTTTCATCTCACGATTCGTTTCTTTGTTCATTAGAAAAGATCTCAAAGAGGAACATGTAAAACATAAGGAGGAAAACTAATGCGAAGTTGTTTCAAAGAAATGAAGCATAAAAACCAAAGTGATAGTTATGACAAGTATCTCCTGCAGTCAGAATTAAGCTTGTCCACTTTATGGCTCGATTTATCAAAAATGTCATTTCGTCTTGTTTCTGCGATTTCAAATATTACACGATTATCACCGAATACTCCTTATTACTGAAATTTTGCTGGTTGGCAATCAGTGTTGGCGAGAGAGGATATTTTTTTAAAAATCATGTGGAAGGTCCTCCTTCTTATTCTTAATATTACAAGTGAGTTTTTTTTTTATTTTGGAAAATTTTCTTCGCTTATCTAGACTACAAAAATACATCAAAGAATCTGATATTACGAAATGAAAATCGTTATTTATTTAAAGCAATCTTAAAGAAATTATGATACAGTCATCTTAAAATTTACAATGCAATATCGCCTTAATTTGAGTTTATTAAACCACACTTATAATCCAAGGTCGTAATATATTTATCAAACAGAAGGGGCGGGGTAAGGTTGGGATTACAATTCACATGCAAGAGCGAAAAGTTTGCCAAAAGCCAGGTCTCTCCACTAGTAATTGCTTTGAATTTTTTTTTTTTTTTTTTTTGCTAGTAGTCTGAATTTTGGGGAATTATACGTGAATACTGATTTACTTTGCATTGATATAGGTGTAGTATGTCAGTTTGGAAGTAGCGATTTCTTCTCCCTGTCCCCCTTTGAACGGAGTGCTTTTGAGGGTGTACCAGGGATCCCAGGAGACCAGCTTTATAAAATGGCAGGTAAAAACAAGGGTGATAATTTGCCTTGTGTTGTTATTTAGCGAACAAAGTTATTTTGAAAAAAAATTATTTTTATTTTATCAATAAACATTCAAAGATTTAAGCTATTTTTATGAACTTCTTATGATACTACGTATTTAACCGCAGACGGTTCTGTCTCTGATGCCATCAAGTTGAGGGCTAGATTATCCATGTCTGCTGCTGGTGCTCAACCCGTGCCGATTGCTGTGCCTGGCAATGCTGCTCCGGCCGTACCAATCACTGTATCAGCAGGTGGTACTGCCTCTATGACGACACCAGTTGCCGGAGGTGGCGCTGCACACAGAACTGCCAGTGTACCGTTAACCATTGGTAGTCCTGCAGTCTTAGGAGGCACCCCCACCCAAATTCCTTCTTTCTACGCCCTACTGCAACCACAACCCTTTGGGGCTTCGCAACTGGCATATATACCACCAGGTTATCCAAGTCCTGGCATGAATTACAACATGGCCGCCTTAGCCTTTATTGGTAATCGACTTTTTGTTCCCTCAAAGGAATCTTAAAGCATTTCCTCCTATCAGAATGAATACGCCACCCCATCTATGAACTCCTATGATGTTCCAAAAATGATATTTGAAACGAAGTTGGCTGCTATTTTTATACTCCCCCCCCCCCCCCACTTTGAGATCATGAAGAGGAAATATGGGTATTGGTTTTCCACCATCTCTTCGTCAACTATTTTGACCTTGCTTATAAGTTCGCAGTGAATAACATGGAACTGTGGTAATAACTGACCACAGGATATGATGTGGCATTGAACCAAAGTCTTATGAAAAAATCAAGGTCATGGGAAATCTTGCGTGGTTCATACAATTACTTGGCACAAAAGTATTTTCGAGGTTGTTACATAAATTTTGTTTTGTGTATATATAAATATTTAATGGAATTTAATTTGTAAGACATCAATGAAATCTTTTTTATTTTTTCTCAATAAAATATTGGAAAAAAGTTATGGAAATGGCACAAATTTTCGTTTAAAATCGATGTAATTTTTCGTAAACCTGAGCCTTAGAAAGATCAATTCTTTAAAGAGGGTGACCCCAATGGTTCAGAGAAAAAAAAACATCCACCTATCGTAAATTACGGTAGCTTACAACCAGATCAGTACCTTCTAAGAAGGTCATTTGAACAAAGTCAAGGTTACGTGTTAAGACATCCTGTAAAAATTGTTCCATGTTGCATTTCACAAGTACATCTTCTCATATTTTAAAATTCAATACCCTGTAAAATTTCAACATTCTATATGATAAACAATCACAAACAATTCATTCAAACAATGTCTATCATTGTATTTCTGTCACTGTTTATTTCTGTTTTACTATTTATGAATGGAAAAAATTTCTATTTCAGATTAAACTGAGGGCAGGAAACCTAAACTGTATATTTTTAATATTTAAGGTAAATAAAAGAGATTTAGCCATATTTGTAGCATTCTGGTATTTCAAAGAAGCAGAAAAAAGTCTCTGAATTTCCATACATCACATTTTACAGCCAATAATCAGTTGTGTTGATTTATCACAAACAAATGACATGTTGCTTTTTTTTTTTTAAAGATATTTAATACATGTACTGTTCATCTCTACTTTCACACATGAAGCTTTTGATAATTTTTTTTATTCAAAACTGGAATTTTTAAATTTTATGACTTTTATTTGATGAATGACTGCAGTGAAAAAAGCCAATTATGAAAGTATTGGGTTAATTAGTACAGAAAAAGCAGTCATAATAAACATTCCATTCTTACATAAGGTATTTAAAAGTACATTCTTCTGCCTTGCATATCAAAATTACAAGCTACTCAATAAATCATTCAAACTTTTACAAAGTCTTTATGCAAAACACTTACAATTTCCATACACACAAAACACTCAATTAAGTATCACTTGAATGACAAAACTTTGCCATGAAATCTCTCAGATGCAATAATAATAACTTGAAATACATGTACAATGAAAAGAGCACTTTTTTTTCTGAAAACATACAAAGCTCAAGTTATTTACAAAATATGAAAACTACTTCCTTTGCTATCCGAATCTGGCGAAAAGAAAGTAGCAAAGAAATGCAGACAGGCAGTAACCTACAAGATTTCTGATACTGAGAAGTTAATCAATGTGACAACAAATGTGAAAGCACTACAGTATATATAAACAAGATAAATACTGAAATTTATGTACAAATCTTAAGGTGTTTCTCATGTGGAAGGGAAAAATATCCCTATAATTTACAGTAGAATTTTCTTTCACTCAGCATTTGAGATAGGTGTAGCACTCCCCATATATACATGAATTGCTGCTACTGTAATGCCATTTGTTAGATTGTGTCTTTATGCAGCATTTTATGCTGACTACCAGAGATGAGATTCATGTTGGGGCATGCGGACCACCCCCACTCCTCCACCTAACCTGCGATAGTTCATTCCCCCACATAATTTCCAGCAGTTTGCCTCTGAATCATACACTTCTATTGTCTTTAAATAAGTTGTTCCATCAAAGCCTCCTATGGCCATAAGTTGTCCATTTACAACTGCTAATCCAACCTGCAGAGAGAGAAATAATTTATCCATGAGCAAACATTTACAATATACCATAAAGTATTGCGTACGGCTGTGTATTCTATTTATCGCACTTGAAGGAAGACAGCTTCCACTAAATCAAGTACATCTTGTATATATGTTTATATCTAGCATGTTCAGAAAGTGCTAAATCAAATTTATGCTACTTGTTGTAAATTCAATTTCCACCAAATATCATACACACTAAATATAACACATTTACAGTATATCAAAAATTTTGTCATTTCTATAAATTAAAACACATGAAGATAAAAAAAAAAAAAAAAGCTGTGAGACATTTCAAAATGGTGTAATTATGTAACTGCACATCAACACTCAAAACAAAATTATATGACGTATGGGATAGGAAAGTTACAGAACTGCAGACTTAAAATAGAACACCTACCCCACTCCTCCGTGATGTCATGGCAACCACTGCTTGCCATGTATTAGCCTGGGGGTTGTATCGTTCCGCACTGCTCAACTCTGTTGTGTCATCTCTCCCTCCAACTGCATAGATCATATTGTTATACACGGCCACTCCCAGATGTTTACGCCTTGTGCCCATGGGAGAGACTGGTGTCCATCGATTGCTACGGGGATCATATCTTTCAACTGTTCAGAAAAGTGAGTATAGAGTATACTAAAGGAAATTCATACTATGAATACTGTTCACGTAGTAGGCCATACACTAGAAAACCTGTTAAAAAATTAAGCCATACATTTTGTTCTACAAATCACATGTCATTTTCAATATGGCTTCACTTTCTTTTTGTATTGCAAGTCAATCTGAGAATTTGTGACTTTTATTCATTTACTTAACTTCAAAAAATGTAGCAGTATATCAATAATCATATCAGTTCTAAATTAATAACCACTTACCTGTGTTTAGTGGCGATGTCCCATCTGAACCCCCGACAGCATACAGGTATCCCCCCAAAACAGCCACACCCACTCCTAACCTCCTGGTACTCATAGACGCTACCTTAGTCCACTTATTAAGTTGTGGATCATACCTATTATGCACAACAGAAAAATAAGCCATGAATTGAGCAAGATTTTTAACACCTATTTTCTTAAATAAAGAAAATTATTTGTATTTGCACTGTCAACCATGCAATATGCTTATATGAACACCGAGCATCATACAGATCAAATAATATAAAATCCTAGAATACTTGTATTAGGGTCTCTGCTTATTAAAATGAAATATTTCTGTGTTGGTAAAAATTTTAAATGAAGAATAAAATTTCATACAGAAAGGTATTTTTATCAAGAGGTATCTCTCTTAGAAGGTAAATGCTCCTTAACTCGCACCAGAATCAAGAAAACTCTTGCACAAACAGCTGTTATCATATTCATATTCAAGAAAATTTTTACATAAACAGCTGTTATAATCAAATTCAAGAAAATTCTTACACACACAGCTGTTATCAAATTCTTATTCAAGAAAACTTACACAAGTGGCAGTTGTTATACTAATATATGTATAAACCTTACCTCTCTACAAAGTTCAGACAGGAGACGCCATCTTGGCCCCCTACTGCATACATGTAATTATCCAGCACTGCCACTCCTACACTCGTCCGACAGGAACTGGTCGGGGCTACATCCCCACTCCACTGGTTTGTCTGAGGGTCAAACCTAAGATTAAACAGACATTTATTAGTATAATTAAAGCTGATATACAGAACAATATTATGATGTATAAAATGTAATTTTGAAATTATAGTCCCAAATAATGTAAAATGCAAAAGTCCTTATATATTCTGTGTAATTTTAGCAACATTTACTGTTGAGTTTCACTAGTGATTTTATAAAATTATTTTTCAAAGAGGAAACATATCATTGTGTTAATGTAAATTGAAAATTTACACAGGAAGTTTAATACTTTGACTACTAAACTAAAGAGTACATGTATATTACCTTTCAATGCTGTTTAAATAAGACTGCCCATCATGTCCACCAACTGCATACAAAAGATCATTTAATACAGCAACTCCCACCCCACAGCGCCGCTTGGACATTGGTGCCACCATACGCCACTCGCTGGTCTGGGGATCAAACCGCTCCACACTGGATATGGCATCACCACTACACCATCCTCCAACTATTTAAAAATTAATAAAAAAAAAATCAGTGACCTTTTTTCATTGGATTCATATATCTAGATATCTATATGACTTAGACTGTAATTTCATCATTTTTTTTTTGTTGTATGCCAATTTTCATTGTTTTCCTGGTTGAGCCAGATGATGAAATTGAATGATCAATGAACTACAAGTTTTACTACTGATAGAATAGGACAATGTAACTAATCACAAATTTACATACATGTATCAGTGAAAATTGTATATCTTAACTAAACCACATGATTTGATCCCCACAAAAGAAACCACAATACAAAGTAAATAAACCAAGCCAAGAACATATCATTTCTTAATATGTCATTACCTAAGATGATTGATCGACCTCTAAAATCTGTTAAAATCATTGCTCCCTTACCTGCAAATAAAACCTCTCCACACCTGATTGGTTTACGAGGACGAGTTCTAGGACCCTGCATAAGGGGTCGCTCCTGGGGTAGGAGTAGGTAGTTTTTGGCCTCGTCCACTAAGTCTCTACATGTGTCATCACTCTTTATAAGTAATTCAGATCCCACTGTTCCTACCAGGAATTTGGGGCTCATTAAGGGAAGACGAACATGTTGAACTACCTATATTTGCAATAAAATTCAAAACTTGATTAAGATTGAGTTAGTCTAGTACTAAACCGTTTTAAAATAGTTTTTCTCTGAGTCTGAATATAGTCGTATGTTAGTAACTCTTCCATGGACAGACTTTTGAAAAAAAACTGAGATGTTTGAGATAAAGAAACTGAGATTCATATTCATAATGCAATGAAGACTACCAGCTTACTGTGACGAGTTCTTTAACCCAGGTATTGACAGTCACATATCAATGTTTGAAATACAGAAGATCAACTGACAATACAATTACTACACAATAAAAAATATTTTTGTGATGGGGTGAGTTTGAACTTACTATTGGTAGATGCGTTCGCCTCTCTCCAATGTTGAACTTGACCCAGTTGACGACCGCGTTATACACTTGTTCCTCGCTGCGAACATTTAGTTCGTCACTAGAGATGATGTCTACCAACTGATTGACAGGAAGAAGCATAAACTCTTCACTTTCCATCACCTGTAATGTTAAAAACGAGCACATAGAAAAGTTTGAAACTCACAGGAGGTATTCAATTTAAAAATAAAAGGCCTTTCTACCCTGATTACTTATCGTGGTGTTGTTTTCATTAACAAAAAAAAAACAAGTGCAGGGAGAGAGAGAGGGAAAAAAGAGAGAGACTGAAACAAAACAGAGAGTGAGAGATTACACTGGAGATATAAACTGTTAGACAAAATTTCAAATCATTTTACCTCTTGAAAATTATGCTGAGTAAATTTATCGGCAATCCTTAATAAATCTCTACATGCATGAGTGTCAGCAAAAGCCCTGATACCCAGGCAGTTGGAGGGATCTAATTGTCTCTTCAGAAACTCACAGCACACATCCTGTATCTCGGCCAGCTGTAACAGGCAAGCCGCAGGGAGGAGGGTCTGAACGTTCCCCTCCTCCACAGTAATGTTAGAGGTATAACAGAAGTCTATTAATAGCTCCATAGCTGTCTCGTCAATGTCTCTGATGGTCACCTCTGTCTGTCTGCTCTCAGCCAGCTCTCCCGTAAACATGGCATGAAAGTAGGGACTACATGCAGACAAGATAACGCGATGAGCGAAGATCTTTTTAGTTCCAACAATGAGGACAACATCACACAATTCACGATGTTTCCGTAGGACGTTGATTGCTTCCAGGGTGTGTCTGGGGTGTTTGTCTGAGGTGTAGGCTAGTCGGGCTGGGGAGGGGGGTCGGTCCATGCCACTCTGAATCAGGTCAGCTGTCTGTAGCTCACGACTGAAGAAAAAAATGCATAGAAGCTATAACATATGACATACATTAATTGAAACATTCTAAAAATATTTTTAACATTAACTAAACACAAAACATCATTTTTAAAATTAAGAATTTATAATTGGTATTTTTCCCCATAAATATTTGCTAGGACATATACAATTACAAAATATTATTCAGAATTTTGTTTTAGTAGTTTCAACATTTTTTTTTCAACAGGTCTTTAAAAAATACCAAATAAATAAATAATATATATAAAAAAAAATAAACTAGCAAATTAAAGCTATCTACATTTTTTTCCTCCTGCATTTTTTCTTTGGTAGAAAAGTTACTCTACATCTGAAAAGGAATTCTTGGGGTGCCATGATCAACACTTCTGCATTTGGTTGCTTTTCGGGGTATATTTCTGTATATATATATATATATCATATTCCTTAAATACCTATCAAGGTTTACTCAAAAATTCTGTTGGTACTGCAATCAAATTACAGTTACCCCTGTTTGAACAACAATATAAATTAAAAACAAACAGGATAATTATTCCCACAGTTAAAAGGCAATTAAGAAGATTAAAAGGGAGATAATAAGTTTGTTTGTTAACTCCTGTAGAGTTAATTGCTATGTGTGAAAAACTGACAAATGTCACACAAATTATACAGATAGGCGAGGATTCATTCATTTAATTACAATACAACCATGATTATGTGAAAAATCAAATAATTGGTTATTAGTGGCAATTTATATATTTTTCAACAAAATTATCAATGGTTAAAAAAAATTAACACCTGAATAATTGTGCATGCATTGGAACCTATCACCTTGCATATATTTTTTTCTTTCAAAATTTAAAAAGTTCAATGATTTTTTTTTCTTATGCTTCACCTATTAAATAAAATACTGGGAATCTCATATATTTGGGCCATCACTAAAAACTTGTTTGTTTGATGTACCCTAGCTGACCTATATTTTTAAGGTAGGAAGGTTGTTTTGGGGAATTATCTAAAACATATATTAGATGAATGTTATGAAAATTGCAGATTTACCCATTTATTCCTACATGATTCAAATCTATACAGCATTGATATAAATTAAGTGCAGCCCAAAGAAAAGATTGTTAATTCCTTGGACAAAAAAAAAATTAATAGGAGAATAAAAATCCTATTTGTAATGTAAATAATATCTATGTCTAAAGGGAAAAAGGGGCTGAACACAGACAAGTAAGTCTATTGTGTGGTCCACTCCCTATATTTTTTCCTGTTTACAACAGCATATTACATTGTATATATAAATTTTCATTCTTCATTGTATAAAACAATTACTATATGCAATCAAATATACTGTTACATGTGCAGAAATGATAGCATACCAGTTCTATCCAATTCTTTGAATCTATCATGTTAATAAATAATATTAAAAGTATAATATCTAATAAAGAATTCATTTTTTCCACTGCAAATATCCAAATTTTCAGATGCTTTTCATATAAACAAAGCATTCCATTATACATGTAGGGAAGAAAATTGGATCAGGAAAGCTCAGGTATTTTATTAGTAATTTTCAAGAAATCTGTGTAGTCAATGCATAGCCTCCAAGATCACATGCTTTTGTAATTAATACCTGTTGTGGTACCTGGATTTGTTGAGAACCAGCTGTCAATGCTGGTCAAATACAAGTAACACTCAGATAATTATTCATTTTCCTCATAAATAAGGAGGAAATAAATATCGATCATGTTGGAAATTTCAAAGCTGTTTTATTATATATCAATTTTGAAAAATGATAAAAGGAAATGGATTAATTCTACAAAATACCCAAATAATTATGAGAGGTCATTGCAAAAAATTTCAATTCATTACCACTACTTTTCTTTGAAATTTCAGGTGATCATTACCACCACATTTTGTCAATAAGGCAAATTGGGAATTACAACTCATTACCACCACATATTCGAATCTGTCAGCGAAAGCACGGAATATGAGTTATATTCAATATACATGTAATATGACCCAGGGAAAAAGAGCTGAAAGCGAATTATGAAAATGGTGAGATTTCCAGATAGCAAATGGCATTCAAAGCTCTACCAATTTCATGTGTTTTATCCATGAACAATTCTCGGTTTTAAAACTTTCAAAAATGTTTTCTCAAATAAAATACATTTCAAACAAGAGGCCCAAGGGCCTTAACTGTCAGTATAAAACAACACAGTAAAGGATCTATAGAAGTATAAAACAAAATTAAATGATGAAGCTATGTTGGCCAAGAATTTCAAAAATCTGGTACATTGTAATGTGCGAGACCCGAGTAATCTCCTTGGGATCATACTTGGTTTTCACAAGTCTTACAGGGATGATAATAAATTCAAAATATACAACACTTTCCTAGTGTGTAAGGTATTCATTTTTGTCACTTGCTTAGTGCTACAAAGAACACAAAGAGAAATCTCTAATGCCTATTATTCGAGGTGTTGCCTCTAGGCTACACAAACAACTTAGCTGCTTGCCACTTGGTAACACTAGTCTTGCTATCAACACTTGTCTCTATATACAAAAAACTTGGTAATACTTGTTACCAGCACTCTCCACTCTCCACTTGGCTTAGTATACACCATGGCTATTTGCCACTTGTCAGTAACTACAGTATGTCCCCTAGTCACCCTGGCTCTCTGTTAACTTTTTCACTTTGATAAAGTATAAATCAACTTTTTGCAGTCTCTTGCCAACTCTGATCTCCATGAATTTACCTGACAATAAGGCATCATCTGTCCAATTCAAGACTACATATACTAAGTACAACTGGCCCTTTTGCTACACAAATAATCTTGATTTCAATCTTTCATGCTGCTTTCCAGGCAAGAATCTGACTTTGAGCATGCTTTGCTTGTTTTAACCAAACATTCATTTTTATTTTGTTTCTACAAATATAACATTCTTTCTTGTATTTTCATTCCATGAAATAACCTGTTAATTAAATTATATACAAGGATTTCTTGATTTAACAGACCTTTCACGGTAGCTCAGTCGGTAGAGCGCTCGCTCCGTGATCGGAGGTCGTGAGTTCAAATCTCGGCTGCAACTGACCTAAGTCGATAAAAAATGGGTAGCAACTGTTCCTTCGCCATGCGCTCGGCACTTTGAAGTGAAAGTTGCGTGTCCTTCGGATGAGACCTTAAAAACCAAGGCCCCGTGTCAAGGCAGGCGTTGGCACGTTAAAGATCCCTCACTGCTCAATGGCCCTGAGTGCCGAGTAAAGGTCAAAATTTGAAGCCCTTCACCGGTATATGGTGACGTCTCTAAATGAGTGAAAAATTCTAGAATGGGACGTAAAACAACAAACAATCAATCAATCTTGATTTAACACAACTTAACAAAGGGGAGTAACTCTCATTTGCTTCACTTATTACAAATTTTGTACTCTGTTTGCCTTCTGCATACCCTGGAGCAGAGAAAATGCTCATTTACTTATATTTATACATTTACATTATCTTGTTTCCAGGCAAATCATCGTAGGCCCAAAATTATTTCAAAGACCCATTTAGTCATAGTATTCATGAGTCCTTCCATTTGTACATCGGCGCAGGACCGATGGACCGACGCTAATTTCGAACACTGATTGTATATGCCTTTTAACCTAAAATATAATCCATATAAATAAGAAAATTCAACTCATTTTCTCAACGTTTTTTCCTCACTTCAAATTTACACACCATGTTGACATTCGGAACTCTCTGGATTGTTCATAGGAAATGCACAGAGTTTGAGTTATAGCCAGTGTTTATTTTGATACATTGCAAATACCTGGAACAAATTCTATTGTTAAACATTGTCCGTAGGACAATATCATTTTAACGATAAAACGTTCTATCTAAGATAGACAGAAAAAAGATTTGTTTGCACTGAGAAAAAGGAAGCTTCATCAGTGGTCGAAAAGTTTTGTTTATAAACTTTATTTACAAAAAAATACTCTTAAAAATAAAAAAATAATATGTTGACGGTGCGACCGTTGGGCGAGCGCAGTTACCTTTCAGTTTTAATTTAGATTGGGCTCGTCAAACCGCACGTGACATTTGCTATGTCTAGACTCTGACGTCATATGACGTATGTATGTTCAGGGATTTTTTTAGGGTCTCTCCAGGGGCAAAATTCGGCCCCATTCCCAATGCTGAAAAGTGTATGTTTTTCCCAAAATTATACCTAAAAATTCCCAATATGAAAAAAAGTATTAAGTTGTAAATTATTAAAATAAAATAATGACAAAAAGGTGTTTATGTTCTCCATGTGTGATGTACGAGCCATCCGAGGAGTTCTGAGAAGTTATTCGGAATACTACGGATGTTTGTATGCATACTTTTTTAAAGCGGGATCGATGTTTAAAAATTAAAGTCGGAATCGTTATTTAATAAATAATTGTGCATCATGTCAGTCTCTCCAGTTTGCCTATGATGGTAATTTTCAGGCAGGCTGGGTTGAATCACTCTTATTCTTATAAATTGGTCAAACAATACCGATTAACCCATCATCTGGAACAAACCCACTCTCAAATTTTATCTTAAAGAACTTCTTACAGAAAGGTAAAAAAGATGACAACGTATAAATATGTTCATTTACAATGTTATCATACCCTGCGGCTTTGCCATTTTTAAGCTTCTGAACTTCAACAGCGGCTAGTATTATTTCATATCACTAAAGCTGGTTTAAGCCAGCTTCATACTATAAAAAATAAGAAAAATGATTAAATATTTGACTTTTGCTTCTTTTTTCCTATTTATGTGTATGAAGATATTTTTCCCAATTTCAACCAAATATCGTTATTTTTCCCAATCTTGACGGCCCCGGCCCCTGGAATCAAAGGGTAAAAAAATCCCTGATGTTGCATTACCAAAACAAAGTCTGAACAGTGCTATTTTTAATCAAAAAACGTTTAATCTACTATCTGTCTGCTATATATCCATTAAATCAAGGTGATTTTATATTTTGTTGAATTTTTGTTGCTACAGCGAGAACGTGGTTTATGGCGAGATGCAATTCGCTAAGCATTATGGGACCACAGGTAACTACGGAAAAAAATTCACTTGGATCAATGTGCAAAGTCCGAATTTTCTCTTCGCCCAGGCATTGCTTTAAGAGCTCGCAGTGACGAGCGACGCAAAGCGCCGCTCACTGCGCTCGCTATAATCCTACTAACCCATCCTACTTTTTTCTTAGCATTTAATAGTAAATAAACATATTTTTTCTTGGGCCTCATCATGGCTCATGTTTCACAGTGATTCTCTTTTGAATACAAATGTTAAAATAAATAAAATCAAATGAAAATATCGCAATGTGCATCGCATCATGACGCAAATGTGATACGTAAAGACACAGAATAAAGGGTATTGCCCAGCCCAAGCACTTGACATCTACCAGCTGATGAATGCGAGATATATGATTGACGAATAATGAAGATTCTGAAAATGAATCAAGAAAACTACATAATTGTACACTTACCATGCCATTATTGAGATTCTTTCAATAAAATATTAATTAAAGATGTAATATTCAATATTTTCAAAGATAGGATTTCTCTTCATTACGCAAAAATAACATTTTTCCTCCCGAAACAATCTAGGTTTCATTTTTCAGGAAATGCCATTGTGAACTCTAAGTTATGGAACAAATTGCGGACAATATTTTTCCGGAAAAATTATATTTTCTAAATATTATAAAATAAGTATAACTTTGCATAGAACCTGATTTCTCCGGTCAATAAAGAAAAATATTATTTGTCCAAAATTTTGTCTTCTAGAGGTAAATATTGAAAATAAACATTAATTACGGAAATCAATGTTTACTTCGGTTTTGTACTTTATGTAGACAATAATCAGTGTCATTCCTTAACATGCATTTTTATAATGAGAAAAGACTGTCTTACAAACGTTTTGCCGACCTGTTGAGGCTAGCTACGAAAGTTTGGATGGAAACGTAAACCCCTTTCTCCGTTCAACTTTAATATTTTGCAAAAATTATGACTACTGACGTAGCATCACAACCAGAAGAAACAGAAGAAGAAGCAGTTGAGGTGTTATTACCAAATACAAATATTGTGACGCACTGTATTTTAAAAAATGATGTGGAACGTTTAAGAAAATCATTTGAAGACGACGAAGATCCTTATAAAGAAAATGTAGCAGAATTAATAAACACAAGAGGGAGGGATGGAAAATCTCCTCTTGATTTAGCCTCTACACTTGGTAGAATAGAACTTGCGAAAGAATTAATACTTAGAGGAGCTGAAGTTAATTCTGTAAACATAAAGGGTAAAATGTAGTTTGATATTTAATATTGCATATTTTGATATAAAACTCAACTATATGTCATATAAATGAAAATGTAATTGTATTGGTTCATTATGAAAATGAATTAGAGACATTGATGCCTCTGAATAAATTTGGCCCACTTTTTTCAGAACCCCTACATTTATCATAATGGTTAATTATAATATGTTATCGAACTTCAATTCTTATTTTCTATTGTGAAGGTTATGGAGCACTTCATCATGCTGCTGCCTGGGGAAAAGTCAGTCTGCTGAAGGTATTGGTGGATGCATTAGCAGATTTACAACTGAAGACAGCTCATGGGGAAAGAGCTAGAGAAACTGCATTAAGATATAACCAAACAGAATGTGTGGATTTCTTAGACTGGGCAGGTAAATTTATAAAATCTGGTGACTTTAGGTAACATGGGGGTAATCCAGTGTCATGTAGTGAATAAATTGTGATGTCATAATTGATGAGTAAAATCATTTAGCATAAAAAAAAATTAGGTCTCAAATGATAACACATTTCAAAGATTTACAGATTATTCAGATGAAAGGTTGAAATATTTTTCTAATTTGAATGCAGAGGCCAAGTCAGAGCTACTGGAGGCAATCAGGGGGCATCAGGAATTTTTAACAGATCCAGAGAAAAACCAGGGTCGACTCACTAAAGAAGACAAGGTACAACAAATCAAACTGCAGAGTAATAGCCATAGAATCTCTGTCTGATCTGTACTGTACAGCAATTTGAATATCAAAACAATATACAATTGAATTTCTGTGTTTTAAACTTCAATATATTGAATACCATGGATAGGTGGAAGTGAGATGAAAGACCTAATTACCTTTTCTGTCGGTATTTTAACCTGGATATTTTGAATCCTTAGATATCTAAAAGTTTTTTCTTCATCCCATCGAGTTTGACATAATGAGTTAAGACTGTAAGTGATTGTTCAAAAATACAGGAATGACAATTTCGAGATTTTTTTGCAAAACAGCTGTATTTCAAAATACTCCTGAGCTTTAAGACAGGTTTCTTCGCATTTAGGAGTTTGTCTACTATGCAAGATCATTATAGATTTAAAAAGCAATTTGACTTCCCCTACAGAATATCATTACCAATTCATGCAAAGAAAAAACTGAATGGGTGGAGAATACCACTGATGCCACGACTCAGGATTTTATCACACAGCGACAGAACTTGGACGAAATAATTACACCAATCATACAGAAACTTAATGAACCAAGTAAGGAAATTTGATAGATCATGTAGATGTTTGCGTCTCAAAATCTGAAAAAAGAATAAAAAATAGTATTTCTACAATTTATATTGTACTTTGTTTTTCTGGAAGATCTTAGTTAAATTTGTAGACTTCATATATTTATATGAAGATATAACTGGATGATGATTTTTAAGCCTATGATATTGAAAAATGGCACATTGTTTTTCTGTCATTTTCAACAATGACAATAACTTTGGATGATAGAAATGCGTAATGAGTCAGAAGGTCTGATAATTTATATTTGGTCCCGTCAAGTTCTTCCGATTTAAACACTTCTGAAAGGAAAAAGGATTGGGAAGGAGCCATGAATGCTTATGACAGTTTTCTCCCTTTATACAAGGTCACATTTGATCATTGTAAATAAGCAATTTATGTGTAAATGTCATGTATTCTTGAAGGTTAAAGATTTAAAAAATTATTTTGGTCACCACTGGAATTTGTTATCACTGAAGGATATTTTTTTAAAAAAATAAAAATCTACTTTATAAAGCAACAATGTTTAATATAATTTCTAAATGTTTTAACAGTCGAAACAGTAAGTATACATCATAAATTGTGTGCATGTGTGTGTTCCCTTAGTACCCGACTAAACAAAAACACAGTTTTAAATTCAACCACGTCTGTGTCATCTGGCCTTGATTAATAACATACCCAAATGTTTGCTGTGATTTGAAGCATGATCTTAGTTTTTCTATTTTCTATTTGGCAAGTTTTGTCAGTGAAAGTGTGTGAATCACATGTAAGAAACATTCTAGGTTTCCACTCATTATAACATGCAACATTTATGCCACAATGTAAAGCTGATAAATTAATATTATTCAATTATTGTACATTAATTATCTATGTAATTAATTTTAAAAGATGTTCAGAGAATTTACTTTTCAGTCTTAATTATTACACTTCTTTTATTTATTTTTTTTCAATTCTCCCATAAAAAGATATTTATTGAATATAGATATATTTTGTCACAATCTACATGTATTATATTTAATTCAGTATTGCTTACTTATACCTCTGTGACAAATGACCAATAAAAAATAGTATGGTTTTCATAACCCAAAAAGTGGAACTCATATGTAAAATCAAAAACCAAATAAGAAAAAAAAATAATAATGCACCATGGAACTTTAATATACTCGGTAATATTTATCAATCCTGTTTCAGCCCCAGAAAAACCAGAAAAAAGGTAAATGAGGGGAAGGAGAGAAGAGCAGCTGTAAGGACCGTTTTGTTTTGTTTGACTGTTTTGTTCACTGTGATAGATTCATGTAAATGTATATATACAAATAAATTCTTATATAGTTTTTCGCCATTTCTGATTTAATTGCAAGATGGGGCATTCTGATCATAATTTTCACATTACTGAGGTAAATAGTCTAGAGACTAAAATGGTCTATGGTTTAATACCAGAGATTTTTATTATCCCACGTGTAGTTGAACTTTTTACACCATTCAATAAATTGAGACAAATTTTTGTGACAAATGACAGCAATAGTCCATACTTCAAAGTTGCTTACGTACATGTAAAACACATGGGAAATGTTATAAACCCACACCCTTTAAGGATTAATTATCGTAAACCATCATTTGGCATTAACTGTGTTACAATTCTTACTGGTAATCTAAATATAGATTTAATATAGTGTCTCCCCATTGTAAAATTAAACAGAAACTGGTTGATTTTAATAGCTAGTTATGATCCCCCTCCTTAGTGTGGGGTGGGGGGAGTAGATATGCTGCTCTCCTTGTGAAGTTGGTCCCTGTTCCCCCTTTTTGTCACTTTCGTCACTATGCCCATGATATACATTGTAACTCGACACTGCTCTAAGTCTTCACTGGTATGAAATCCGTCAAATCTACCAGTAGTTATATCAATTTTAAAAAGGTGTATATGTATGTGCTATCAGGAATCGAAATGTTCTTATGTCAAGACTATATTTTTGCAGATCTTCATTTGAAATGATTTAAATTTTAGTTTATGTTACAGTGACCTTGACTTGGTGCAATATCCCAAAGGTCACAGGGCAATGAGATGCTGAAATCGTCTTCCAAGCTGTAACTTTACAACCCTTTCTTGGTATAATTAAAAGATAAGTATGCTATTCCCTGTGAACTATAGGTGAGGCATAATCTCAGTTTCATCACTCTCAAAGCACATATTAAGCAGTTAAGATGTTGAAATATGTCACAAATGGTGCCCAGACTATAACTTCCTATTGGGAGGTAGTTAAATTTTAATTTTTTTGTAATTTGTATATTAAGGGGTACTACATGTATTTTGTTGAGACTTAAATTTGTGGATATAATTCTACTTATTTTTCCTTTGGCAGTCATGGGTGTTGGAATCAATACAATTATAAAGTTTGTCTTCAACATCTATACATTGTTTTGCAATTTCGTTTAAAACTGTTCCTTATATTCCCAACAACTTTATTAAGAGCTCATCTATCCTATAGAGTATTTTGTTATGTCAATAAGTCATTCTAGAAAGTTCCTTGAGAAATGAAAGGCTCTTGTTTGTTTGTTTTTTTTAAGAAAAAAAAGCACAGTATTTTTTATGAAATGAAAACCAGGGAAATGCGGTGTTGTAAAATTCTTATAGAACTACAGTGTATATTGATTTGATTGTGTTTCTTGTCTTATTTCAAACATGGATAATATACAGAAAACAATGAAGATGTTCTTTTTGTTAAAAAGATATTTTATTGACAAAAATATGAATACATTAAATCTTTAAAAGTTCAAAGTATAAAATGCCCATTTTAACAAACAAAGAAAACAAAACTCTTAAAATTGATAAATCATAAACACAATTCAATGTGTCCCTTAAAGAAATATATTGATATTAAAACCATGAACCTTCTATAACTAAATTCTTTTACTAGTTACATTATGCATCATTAAGTAATTTTTATTCATGTACAGAAGTTATAAATCTTGCTGGGAAGCACAAAACATTGAGGACAAGTACGCATATCCCTGACAAACAATTTGTATAAAGACTATAAACTTGCATGTCAACAAAAAGTGATGATAAGACAAGGAAAAAAAACTTTGCAACAGGCATGGGGTTTTACTGCAAGAGTTATCTTTCTTTTCCTTTAACTTTACAATGAAAAGGGGAATAATTCAATTCAAATACAAAGTTGAGTTATCTTCCTTTCAATATTTCTTTCAGCAGAAAAAGGCTGTGCCTGAGAATCTAAATACATGCATTATTTTTTTTATTTGCCTATATGACCAGTCTGAATATTCCTGATAAAGGACTAGTATGAAATCTGTAAAATTTGATCACAACAAAGCTACTGATTTTCTGAGAAATCACACAATAAAATCCTCACACACTTTCTCTCCATCAATTATCCTTTCAAATGAGAATCTGCTTAAGTCCACTGATTTGTACTTCCTGCGCAGCAGCATTTCACTGATGGCATTTCCAATACAGATTGACTGCTGAAGACCATGTCCACTCATTCCATTTGCAAAATAAAAGTTTGGTATCATTGGATGTTGTCCAATAATCAAATTTTGGTCCCAGATGTTGTAGTCATAGAAACCTGCCCAAGCACTTTTTAACTGCCAAAATAAATAAATAAATAAATAAATGCACAATAATTCATCATGTAAATCTTTGTAATATGACCATCCATTGAAAAGAAAATTAATTCTGATATTTGCCGATATGGACAATTTTTTTTTTTTTTTTTTTTTTTTTTTTTTAACAATTTTCATACTGACTGCTGTATTATTATTTTTCAAAAATGTATCATTATGTAAAAGATATTCAACAGAAATTTATTAACCCCCCTACACATGTCACAAAATAATTTTAAGTGAAAATAAGATTTTTGACAATAATAATAGGAACACTTATTATATCTCTGATAAATACGAAATTATTGGCTTGTGAAGATATGGTCATATTGAATATGTAATTCATATCGCATAAGTCATATACTCATCATTTTTTCTCTCAATATTTTCTATAAAGAATAAATAAAAAAGAACTCTTTCCCCAAATCTATTTCCTTTTTTTCAATTTACTGAAAATATTGATAAAATTGGTAGATACACTGACTCATGTGTTAACAGTAAACTGAGAGTGATTTTTCTTTCAATTCATTTGTACAGTTGTAGAATCTTTGTAAATACTTGCCTTGATATTTTCAAATGCTGGAACTCTGTGAGCTAATCTAGGCCATATTTTTTCATTGAAGAAATCATAATCAACATCCATATTATCAATCGATGGTTCCTCTTCCTGAAATATATATCATGTCTTTACTATTTTAGAAAGGACCAAGAGCAACAGACAGAAAAATATGCCCAAACTCTTAATGGGCTTTACACAGTTTTTCAGTAAAAATATTTTATCCTAGCTTTATCATGATTTATGTTTATCAGAAAGCATGTTGTTACATTGCATTTGTCCAAGGTTTAGAATTTACATGTGGAGGAATCCATGAAGCTACATGTAGACTTTTTTGGTCCAGTTTTTGCATGCTACAGTTTTTGAGTTGCAGATTAAAAATAAAAACATGGGTTGCTATAATTTAGTCCCAACACAACTTTGTCAAATTAAATTACATATATACATATTTTGTAATTCTACTTCAAAAGAGTACTTTGTTATACCTTTAAAAATTGTTTCCTATATAAATCAATACTGAGAAAAGTCTCAAATTTTTAATTTTTTACTGTGCGTTTCTGAAAAAAAAAATCAATGTTGGACCACTGAGTGAGATGTTAGACCTGTCGATGAGATATTGGACCGCTGTGACATTTTTTTGTTTCACACTATAGGCAGGATAAGCTATTTCTTACTTGCATTTGTTGGTGTTCAACAGTTATGGAAATGACTGAGTTAATTTCGCAGTGCAGGTAAACTGCACAAAATTTACATCAATCATTGCAAACATGGACGCCAGCACAAGATATGTCAAAATGAAAAGTAAAAGATATAATATAACATTTATTGATTGTGTTCTTTGCTGAAAACATTTTGCTGAACCTTTGAACCAATCTGTTTGGTTCTTGGGTCCAACAAAATGCATGTTGCCCGAACACAGTCAATAAATGTATAAGGTTTATGACATATTTGGCAGTTTCTTGCATTTGGACACCTGAAAAGTTGTTCTCCTCATACAGAAGTATTATCACACAAACCTCTGATTCTGGAGATGCCCCACATATATACATGCCTCCGAGTCCCTCCCTCCTGAAGTAAGTCCCCGTAGTGTCCACAGTAAGGGGTGTACTTATACCAGGGCCATTAGGACAGTGAAAGACATAAACAAACCTCTTCCTGTAAATCAAAAATACAGGAAAACAAAGTTTTACTCAAGCATCTGAAATATTATCACATTATTATTACATTATTTTAATATTAATTAAATATTATTAGCATAGCACAATGTAAAAAGAGACAGCTATGTGATACAAGTATCAGAATGCCAATATTTGAAGACCATTTATAGCAAGTTTGCTCATACAGATGTCACACTAAATATTATAACATAACAAATGTTTAATCACAAATACCTTAAAATGACAAATTATCAACTGAAAATAATAAATTATGGCTCTAGACAAATCACTTAAGCTGTTAGTCCCAACATTTTTGGTATATAATCATGTTTTAGTGTACCTAAATAAGGAAGAAAAACAAAACTGACTTCATACAAGTTGATGAAATAAATGGATAGAATAGTTGATGCACATGTCAGGGAACTAATAAAATGTTTGCACTGCCCATACAGAGATGGGAATTAAAAGAATGTTTACCTTGACTGCACAGTGGTAATAACAGAATATTTTTGTTGAAAAAGTGATTTTATGAAAGCATGTTTACACGTACCATGGTTGTACTGGTAACAGAATGGATAGAATATCTTGCTTGTACAATGTACTTGCAAGAGAAAGGGTAGAATGTTTACTTTGATTGGACAGATAAGGTAATAGAGAAAATGCTTACCTTCATTGTTAAGGTAAAGGGATAGAAAGTATGTCAACCTTGGTTGGACAAGTAAAATAATGAATAGCAAACTTACCTTGGTTGTTCAGGTAAGAGAATTTACATGATTTTGTCTTGGATGTACAGAAAGAGAGAATGGACAGAATGTTTATCTTGGTATTTGGTTGTACAGGTGAAGATTTACCAGGGTTGTACTGGTGAGGATTGAATGTAAACCTAGGTTGTACAGGTGGGGACTGAATGTTTACCTGGGTTGTACAGGTGAGGATTGAATGTTTACCTGGGTTGTACAGGTGAGAATTGAATGGAAACCTTGGTTGCACACATGGGGACTGAATGTTTACCTTGTTTGTCAGGTGAGGATTGACTGTAAACCTCTATTGTAAAGGTGAGGATTGAATGTTTACCTTGGTTGTACAGGTAAGGGGATGGACAGAAGCCCAGGTTCTGTACCCACTCCTGCCATCTCTGCTATTTCTGCTGCCCAAGGACCACCACAGTTTACCACCTGACCACAGGTTGTCTCATACAATGCTCCATCTGCATCTTTTGACTGTTGGTATGGAGCAGAAATAAAGCTTTCATTATCAGAATTATGAAATGACAACTTCTGTCTAGAGGATTTGATTAGAAATAAAACCTCCATCTTCCAGGTTGTGTTTTCAATCAATTCATCATTCCGAATTAATTGACTTTAGAGAATCAATGGGAGATCAGTTTTAAAACTGCTCAAATTTCTTATAGTCTGTAAACTAATATTATTTAGTCTTTAGCCTGATTAAAAAAGATGTCGCATAAATTAAGCATGATTAACTTATCATTTCAAAAGTATTCTGCAAATTGTTCAAAAGATGTGACATACAATCCCTTATCAAAAAATACCTGGCAGTTATTAAGTTTTTTAGGTAAATAAGCTTTATTACACATTGATTAAAAAACAAGTTCTACAACACACCTTAATCCTGTAGGTGTAAGGGAATCATTAATGTGTAACAAAGCCAAGAAACTTGTATGGAAACCATGCTTATGGGGAAGGGACGGGACCAACATTATACTTTTTTCATATGGAACCCGGCTTTTTCAATCTGGAAATCTAATCTGGGTATAGTAAAATACCCTTATAACAAACTGCCAGGGACAGAAAATTTTGCTTTATTATAAAAAGTAATTTGTTATATCCGTTAAGTTCTCAATACGTTTTAAACCCAAGGGGAAAAAAAATTACTTCACTGTAAGTGTGAATTCATTGTAAGTGTGTTTTACTGTATTTGTGAGAAGCAAGTTTTTCTCAATCCAGAAATCTTATATGAGTATATATGAGAAGCAATTTAAAGTTTTTCCCAATCTAGAAATCTAATTCATTTTTTTGTGAGAAGCAAGTTTACCAAGCACTATGCTAATTGTATTCAAAGGGTAAAACAGTGGTTACTTTTTATCTTGAGAAAGAGAACATATAAGAAAGAAATGTCAAATTCAAACTCACAATGACAGAGGCTAACATGTAGCGATCTGAGGTTCCCTTTTTATCGTACTTCTTGGTAAATCCCACAACCTCAGCATCAACATACTGGACTCCGAGGCTTAAATTCTTTCTTTTCAGAGCAGCTAGGAGAGAATGGGGGTCAAACCACCCTTCTCCATGTAAACCTGCACAAGGAAAATGTACATTAAAGAGAAGGCAGTGTAATATAAAATAGCAGAGTCTGGCTCAAAGTGTGTTAATGGTAAGAGTACAATGAGTTCAGAAATAATTTGTTAGAAATGCATTTAATATTCAATTTGGATTAATTAAATGTAAAAATGATACAAAGAAGAAGAGAAGAAATACTGAGATTGATTAAGCTTACAGCATACATGTATACACAGAAATTATTTGTTTTCTCAGAAATAAGAATGTTAATGTTACACAAAGTTAAAAACAAGAGTCCCATGAGCCACAATGCTCATCTGAGTCAGCATGGCTATAAAGCTGTTCTCCTTTAGTTGATTTAAAAAAATGCCCTCTTTATTCACATAAAAAATTCTGACCCCATATGTTGCCCACCTCTAGCCCTCATAGATTCATAACATAATCAAATTGAATTCACACGTCCTGGGGATGCTTCATTTACAATATGACTAACATAGCCTTGTATTTTGAAGAAGATTTCTTTTCATTTGTATATACCGGTACACATTCTTTAGATAAAATTTGATCCCTGATTTTACCCTTACTCTAACCTAAGATATATTTATTTGAAAGAAAAACTTATATCCCTGTAATTTGGGAATTTTTGCATATGAATACAATTTATAAGTTTCACACTGCTATAAGATTTTTCCTGTATATTCCAAAGTAAAACTTTGCTCCTCTAAAAACTTCCACATCCTACCCACAGAGACATGCTTTGAATGAATTGGATCATTATTGTGGCAGGTTTGGATAAAATTGACCAAATGCTTTCAGAAATGTAGATGAATGTATGAAAAGTTTATATTCCACTCATGCAAAATGACCCAAAACTAATGATAGACACACAGCTGCCTGGCACTCATTGATCAGAATAGCTTACTTCTGTCTTTGGCTCTGATGAAATAAAAACCATGTCTTTTTTTTTGTCCAAAAAAATCCTTGTTGATTTGAAGGATTATTTTTATATTCAACAAGTGTTCAGTATTTTTCCTGGACACAGTGAGTTCTGATTTTTACCTAGAGAACCAACTTCTATTCCATCAAGATTCAACCATGGAAATCTTTCTCTGAGCATGTCTGCTGAAAAGAGCTCAACCTCTGCACCTAGATACCTGAAAAAATACAAAAACACCTTTAATATCATAATTTCAAATCCCACCACTCCTTGAAGATCAGGGTATAATGGCTTTGTCCTGTCTCTCCTTCTGTCCTTGACATTTGGTTTTACATTTGAAGATAAACTCTTCATTTTCAAAAGATTATGCAGACTAATGCCAGAAAACCTTTAATCAAAGAGACCCATTGAGTCATTCAGGTAATCTTAAAAATCCTCATATAACCATACTAAAATATGTTATTGAGACATGTTTATTATACTTCTTTTGAGAATACTCAAATTTGGTGGCTAAGAAGGCTTTCAAACTCAATAATGACCCCAAAAAGCACTGTATACAGCAATTTAATCATATTAATGACCTAGGAATCCTCATTATAAATATTGATAACAAATATTTATAAATATACCCCTTGACCAGGCTCATTCACTGACCTGAACTGACCTCAGCTGCTATGCAGCCTGGGTCAGGTCAGGACACCTTGTGGGCCAGGTCTCTGGTCCTTATTTCACCATGTTGACCTCATGAGGGGTAATTAATTGTATATAAATACTGCTTACATATGTTAATTAACTTCTGATTCAGAACATGTACTTGTAAGAAAAATGATAACTTCTTGATGAAAACTAAATTACTTTTGCATTTTTACGAGTTCAGCCAATTTTGCAGATTTTTCCCGAGGTGCCAAGAACAAGTAACCATGGTGATTAAACTGCACATCAGGAGGGGGCTCATCTAATTAAAAAAAAGAAATAGAAAGTAATTTTTCTTCACCATAACAAATTTTAAAAAGAAATAATATTGAAGAAATCAACACTTTCAAGTTATAAATACTAAGAAACATTAAAATGATCATAATACTAATCATTCCTCTTTTTATGTTATTTTACAATGTTTTTTAATAAGAAGTTTTACATACATGTACATCTGAGTATAATGATTGTTTGGAGTTACACCATATTAAGAAGCTTTACCTAACTCTCCTAAAAAATATTTAATGTTTCTGAGAAAGTCTGTGGTAAACATGGACATCTGGACATTTTCTGGTACACTAAACTGGTGCCTTATTCCTCCAGCAGATAGTGAAGATGAAGCTCTTGTGTACTAGAAAAAAAAAGAATCAGCACTATATAAAACATTTCTGGCCCAGCAAAATTTTTTTAAGATTAGATTTATTAGTTCTCAGTAATATTTTCATTTTGTCTAAAATAAACTTTTGATTTTAGAAGTGAAGAATCATAAAGCAGGTACACAGTACATGTAAATTCTATTTTCCCCTTGTTTTTTGTTAATCTTTTAATTAATTGTAGATCCTCTTTTAACTTGCATTACAATCTTACCATGGGATCTTTTTCTATGACAACAATATCATGTTCGTGCTTCTTTTGCTTGTGGGCAGTGAAGAAAGCTGCCGCAGACCCTACCAAGCCTCCCCCTACAATAGCCACATTGGTCGTCCTCGGGATGTCCTGCTTTGAGGAGAGGACCCGGGATATGGAATCTTTGAGAACTTTACCCAGGTCCCTGTCATAAATTTTAAAGTAAAGAAAATCATGCTTTGTCAAAATAGATCTTAATTATTTTATAAAGGGTACAGTCAAAAGTGAACAAAGGATGAAAATTTCCTTCCTTATGGCAAAGCAATCACAATACATATGTATGTATATGTAAAGATTTGTACACTACATATACTTTAACAAATTTGTTCAATGGATACAATGAATTACGGATATAGTGAAGTAAATGAGTTATACTGATATAATGAATTACAGATATTATATTGTGAAGTAATTGATGCATGTGCTATATGAATTAATTTTCTTATCTAAGAAATCTAGCAATAAAGTAAACAATGAAAAGGCCAAGTTATGGTAAGAAATTTCAGTTTTAAATTTGCATTGTGTGTTGCTACAGTCTCGGGCAGTTATCAGATTGATACAATTTGAATTTCTTGCTTTAGCACATACATGAATGCCAATGTTTATAAAAATTACTGTGAACCAACATTCCTTCTAGGCTAATATATTGTGTATATGCATGACCTAAATATCTGAACATACATCATAAATCAACAAGTTTCTTTTGCATTTTTGTTGTTTCTAAGTTGTTCTTGCTTCCAGTACATTGCTTGTGGCAATGCATTTTTGTATGCTTGAGATCTAATGTCAGATATGGGTGTTCAGAAGAAAATGAGAATTGGTCAAAATGGTTATCTAGTGAGGTGTACTTGAAATTGATAACATATTTAATACTTGTCAGACAAAACCATGATACTAATCTTGTTTACTACTGATTGAAGTTAATATTGTTTTGAACTAAGGAATTATAGAAAATCTCTTCTGCACAAGGACATACTCAAGGACATAGTCTACTTAAATGAAGTTTTAAACAAACAAGAGATGAAAAAGCACAATTTTTTCTCAGAAATTATTCTCATTGTTATGCAGATATCAATATCACCATTTAACATTATGCTAGCCACAACATACACATAAATGATTGTAATTTTAATAAGATTTATACATTTGACATACAGAGCATTTGTAATTCCAAGTTACCTGATATAAAAGTCTTTTAGAAATTCCTATAACATGCCCTTGCACCTGATTGATTTATTGTAAATTCCAACTGCTATTGGCATTTGATTGGTATTGCCTGATAGTATGATGTCATTAATATGTAATAATGTTTATATATAATCATTACATGTTTAAGATCACATAAACTAAAATGTAAATGTTGTTAGTAAAATTTCAAATCTTATATTTACATTCAAACTGTTTGATGGCCATTGCTTAAATAAAATATAATTGGCCTTATAATTTACATGAAAATGTATTCAAGTTTTTTGGTTTTTTGGTTTTTTTTTTAAATCATGTCTATTTGCTTGAAAGGTTAATCAGAAATGTGAATAAAATTTGGTTTACAGTACCTTGGTTTCCCCCCTCCAGGTCGGATTTTTTCATTGCCCTCTTCATCATAAATGTAATCATCTTCATATGAATTGCCACCATTTCCCTTCTTTATATCAGAAAGGGATCTGATCCCTATTACTGATGCAGGGGGGCGTTTCTGTGCTGAGAGTGACCTGAATTGTCTGCATAAGTGACAGGACAACAAGTTTCTGTGAATATTCCTCATTACAATCTCTGGAAAAAAAATCATTCAAAATTTGCTATTTTTAACATAAAATAAAAATAAATAAATAAAAACACAGATACAATGGTAAAATTGACAAATGACTCATATAAATTTTCTCTATTATCGAACCTTCAGACCTTGTGTGTATATGTATATTTGGTATCTATATATTCATATACATGTTTCATGAAGATTAAAACCCAGGCCAAGCACAAGTGTTCCAGTGTACTATGTAGCAAAGACAAGGAGTTTATTAAGACAAAAATTACATTAAGGTCAAGATCTAGTAAATGACTTTAGACTGTCTTTTTGGTGCTAGATCCATTATGACGTCATAATTGTTTTAAGCTTAATTTTTCCCGTACTTTATGGCTGTAAAAGAATTGTGTAGCAAATGAAGGATTTTCAATGTATTCAATTTGAAATCATGTCAAAAGTAACCCCGATATCTATATTCAATTTAATATCATTTTAAAAAAGAGGTTAAGAAGAAATGAAAAACCGTTTTCTGAGAAACTGTAGGCAATATTGATACATTTCTTTTATCTGAGATGGAAAAAACTCCTAAATTTATACCTGACTTTCTTCGTTTTTCATTAAAAATTACAGTTTAAAATATGTTTTTTCGTCTAGTTTATCAAAAAATTATGTCCCGAAACACCCTATTTTTGCAAGCCATATTTGTAAAGGATCATTAAAAGAACTCGTTTCTCAAATTTGAAAAATTTGTAGGCATCTTTCATTTACTAGATCTTGACCTTAAAATGATAGCAAATGCATTTAAAAGCGTTTTGATTAATAATTACCTATGTAAGCTTTAGCTTGCAAAGATAAATCCAAATTAAATTCTTAAACTAGTAAAAGCCGTTTCACAGGTTTGTTTTTCATGTAGGAAATTTACTAGGCACAATAAATGACTAAATCCAAAACGAAACAACATTGATAATCCGGAAAGTGGTCACCTCGAGGTGACGAGCAAACTATATATAGGCCTTTCAACTAATTTTTCAAGTTGCACCTATGGTAAAAACATTTGATCGATAGATTTACAGCTACGTGAAATCCTCAAAAAAGATTATAACATGTACACACCTTTAATTAAATCTTTAAAATATTTAATTATTAATAGTTGATTTGTACGACGTTGTGTTTTAAGGACAGGTAAGTCAAGTGCGAAAAACGACCAACAAAGTGTCGATCAATGAGTTATCGTTTATAGGAATGACATATAGGCTTCTTCAGTTGGTATTGTTATGTACACAAAAGGGTTCCCTACATTGTTTTGTACACAAAAGGGTTGACCAGAACAAGGAGAATGTCTTCACTCTACCTGAAATAACGGGATCAAATGAATGGGGAACGGACTATATTCAAGATTTTTAACTCTCTCTGACAGTTGTTATGAGGAAGAAAATATAATGGAAGGTTTTTTGGGTGTGCATTGTTGTGCTTCTTATATAAAGATATACATTTCTACAAGTAAATGCAACAATTAATTATCTTATTCGTTTTACTAAGCACGAAGTAGAACGACCAAGCATAAAAATTTAATCGGGTTAAAATTAAGAAGGGGGTAGATTTCACTTTATATTTTTATTAAAAATTTCACTTATATATTATCTAACAGCGTCCGTAACTACATTATAAATAATTTTAACATTTGTGCTAAATTTTAAAACCACTGGATTCCGCTGACAGCAAAGGAACACTTGGGAAATGCTGAAAATTGACCTGTTAAAAAACTATTAGATACCTCAGACCTGCTGTAAACAAGTTCCGGTAATGAGTTATCGTTCTTAACATCGATCCCTAGCGGCAGTTGAAAGGCCTACTATATAGGTTATATAAATAAAATTATACATGTATATATTTTTATCAAATATTAACAGGGACTCAAATTATTTATGTTCAGACATTGTTCACAAAACAAAATAAATAAATAAACAAACAAACAAAAAACCACAGGCGCTTGGGGGCGGGACCCCCCCCCCTTTCCCGTGTTCCGTACCCCAAGGCTTCTTTGACTTTTTTTAAAATAAAATATTTTTCTATGACACATTCACAAAGTATTACAACTGAAATATCCAAATTATAACCTAAAACTAGCCTTTTATAAACTTATAGTATCAGAGAGTGTGCCGTTACAGGTGTAAAGACGAATAATGACCCCCATAGAATAATGACCGGGGGGTCATATTTCAACGACAAAAAATGACCCCCCACCCATAGAAAAAAATAATTTTTTGTAGAAAAAGAGACCTAGGGGTCAAATTTTTATGTGTGCGTCCTATAAAAAATTGACCCCCGTTGAAAAATGACCCCCTTTCCAACAGAGTGCATGTACGAAATTTATAACGGGTGACTGATGCCAAGGTTTGAACCTCAATGTTTGATATTCTTCTTTATGCCTTTTTTGACCAACACTGGACGAACGCGCAATTAAAATGCAATAAAACCGCATTACATTTACCTGCATAATTCTATCTTTTAAGCCTATTGTGTTCTCAGCACATATTGAAAATCGCAAAATGGCTACTATTGGTTATAACTGATAACGTAATTTCCCTTTATGACTGTCTTCCATTTGTTTCATATTTGGATATTTGACTGATTATAGACATTCATAGCTAAATAACAGACAAGCGGGATGTTCTGGCTTTTCATTGGTAAACATGTCTCCCAAAGTAATCAACATGCTTTGAGTAGGATCAACCTTTTTTTTTAAAAAAATGAAGGGAAAAAAAAGAATGAGATAAGTTTTCAGAAATAAATACGGAAAGTTATGCAATATATTATATATGTAAATTTTGAATGACATAATGAGGTAGAATGTATCGAAAATGACGTAATAACTCGTGCGAACGACATACTGTGGATATATATATTTCTTAATAAAAAATGGTGAAGATAACGAACAGTGATGATTTTAAAATATCCACAATGAGTACAAATTTGTTAACAGGGCATAAAAAAGGACCCCCGAAAATTGCAGAGGTGGGATCAGGTGCCTAGAAAGAGTAAGCATTTCCTGTTGTCCCGTCACACCCGCCGTGAGAGCTCTGAATAAATCAGGTAAAGGGACATTCCGTTGTCGAATTTAGTATAAAAACAAGGGCCAAACAATTGACCTAATTATAGGTTTTATTTGTTGACAGGGTCATTGATACGACCATTAAATCTACGAAATGCTGACTTTAAACGAGATTGTTGAAACCCCTGTAACATCAATTTACATGTATCTGTCAGTAGCCTGTCTCGATTTAAAAATTAATCGTTCTCTTGGGTATCGAATAAGTTGGTAGACGTAAACATTATATGCAAATGATTGCAGAATATTACTTCATAAATAAGGAAAATTGACAATAGAAAAGGCTGAAGTCATCCCGTTTTCAGACAATTTAGTTGTTAGTTGGTCTTTATGGTCTATAGTCAGTAGAACGTCCAAATATGAAGCAGACGTGGCAATCATAAGAAGGACATAAAATTTCTGCATGTCTGAAATATATACAATCTTAAAATGTGCATTCAATTTTATTTATAAACAGTGGTCTACTCTATGGGAATTTCTTTTCAAGTATATAGAAGTAATACAGGAGAATCAAGTCTGTTAACATGGTCGTCTGAGAATATGATACATACATGTAAGAGGAATATTTTTTAATCAACTTTAAAACAGTGATACATTTGTCAAATCAATATGGAAACATCTTCAATACAGTATATATTGAAGTAGATTAATGTTTTCAATTTATAATTAAAGACAAGACTATATTATTGACCTTCAAGAGGAATACATGTATAAGGATTTATTTTTCCTACATTAAACTAAAAATAGATTGAAAACAATTCTGAAAAGTTATTTCACCTGCATCTGAATTCTACTCAAGTGAACATAATATTTAGGCACAAAGAATCGGAGAAGAGGGAGGGATTGTTTTAGCAATTTCTAATATGAAAATGTTCATTGAAAGTCTTGTAACCACCCCCTCTTTCTTGTACAGTATAGTTAAAAAATCTCTCCTACTTGGGTGAACAAGATGAACATTACATTCAGGCATATAGAATCAGGGATGGGGTGTCCACCCCCTTCCATTTCCATGAAGGTATTCTTTTTTATTTTTTCGCTTGAAAATGGTCATTGCAAGTCTGGTTGTCCTACCCCCAACTTTTTGATACAATAGAGTAAAAGAAAATTCCACTTACATCAATAAACTTTTTGAGGGGTTCATCAAAGATATTTTTAACTAAAAGTATTTTTTGACTCTTATAATGCGCCATTTCCCCTTTCGATGCTATGCCCGACATTTATTTTTTCTACATTGCACCAAAACTACATTTCAAATGCAAAAATAATACTGGTTATGCTTATGTTAACTCCTATTCTTTCACTGTGTTTGGTTAGACTTGAGCAAATGTAAAGAAACTTGACATGTCTGCGTAATCAGTTTGTATCAATTTAATCGTTGAATCATATAATAAAACAATTATTGCTATTTTTCTGTCAGGACGATCAGTGATTTTCCACCATCGAAAAACAATGCTGTGACGGTCCATATTGTCGTTTTGTACATATTGTCGTCGGAGACAATATGTACCTACCCTCACTGCACATATTGTCGTCCATCGGTATATATTGTCGCCGGCGACAATATGTACCGAGACGAGCCTTATTTTCTTCCTGCATAATGGACGACAAAATGTACAGTCAAGCACCAGCACATATTGTCGTCGGCGACAATATGTACAGTCAAGGTCGGCATATATTGTCGTCGATATATTGTTTTCACGAATACTAGTATTTACTTGAGAAAGGAAAGAGAGATTTACAAACACACACACACGCGCGCACGGAGGGAGACAAACACCATTTCTAACAATACTGTAGGGAAAAAACATTCTGGGCAGAAAATTGTGTCCAGGATTGATGTACATCACTATGATATGTCAAAATACTGTAATTCTTTGAGACATCTGATAAATCAGCCTATTCTTTTTTCTTGTAAAATATACTTGGGAGATTGAATACACGTATTAGTTTTTTTGTTCAGTAGTAATGATTTTTTTGGAAATTAATTTTGCGTTTTTCTTATATACAATCATATGTAGATTAATTGGTGTTGAGGTTCACATTTTTAGATCACCTGAGCTGGAGTTCAAATGAGCTTTTCTGATTGTATTTTGTCTGACCGTGCCTCTGTCTGTAAACTTTTCACAATTTCAGCTTCTTCTCAAGAACTACTGGGTTAATTTCAACCAAACTTGCCACAAAGCATCAGTGGATAAAAGGGATTCAAGTTTGTTCAAATGAAGGGCCAGGCCCTCTTTCAAGGGAAGAAGTTAAGGATTAGTAAAAATTTAGTGACATCTTTTAAAAATCTTAAACACCACTGTGTCAGAAATGATGAAACTTATGTGAAAGCTTCATTATGACTTGTAGATTCAGTTTTACATGTATTCAGATCATGTCCCTCGAGGCTACAATAGGTGATCAAATTTTTTTCAAAGAATATTTAGAAAAAAAAATCCTTCATTTTTTTGTGCTGGGTCAGAAGAGATGATACTTATGTGAAAGCTTCGTTTTATAGCGTACGATCAATTTTGCGTAGCTGGCACGAAAAAAAATCCCTAACTGCTCAATGGCCATGAGTGCCAAGCATAGATCTAAAGAACTACACACGCTAGCTCTCGATTCCCGCCTACATTTTACACCCATTTAATTCAATACTAATGACAATTTGGCCGTAAAATCTTTGTTGAATGCAAAGAACAGTTCAATAGTAATTTTAATTCCAGTGTTAAATAGTTATTTACCCCTAATTCCAGCTCTTTGAATAAGGGGGGTAGACGATATTTTTCATTGAAATCGGGCTTTAAAGCATCACCACGTTTTAAAATATTCTTGGATATGAATAAATTTTCCTCAGATCTTTTCTTATGTATTACTCATATAAAATTAAACATATATTATTAATAAAATACAATGTTTTAGTTGTAAACCCAAATGATATTGGTAAAAAAAAATAACCATTTTGGTAGTTTTTTGTCTGTAAACATATGTTCCCCCCGTGAAACAACAAAAGCTTTGGTATGAATTTGTGAAAGGACAGTCCATATTACCTGTAAAAAGGAATTTTGTTTCACGGGGGGGGGGGGGGGGGTTCCGTTGTTTTCTATAGTGAAAAATCACAAGTTTTACCAAAATTATAGAGTTATCTCTCATTGTTTTCCCAAAGAAGTAATGTCTTATGAAAATTCATATGAATATCTATATAGATATGAAAAATCATTCAAATATGTTAACTTTTGAAAAATGACTTGGAGGTAGGAGGGAGAACAATACTATAGTTTGCAGTTCTTTGCAGCCCTCCATCGGCAAGTGGTGACGTCTACGAATAAAAAAAAATCTCTAGATGGTCATTTTAAAAACAAAGAAAAAATCATTTTTGTTCAAATTATGACCCCATGGAATAGGTTGGGATCACAATGGGTGATTAAAGTCTTACATAGGAATATATACAGAAAATATTTAAAAATCTCCCAAACCAGACAGATATAGGACCGGCGCATCCCCCCCCCCCCCCCGGTTTAATTTTTTGTCTGCTTTGGTAAATTCTGTTTGTTTAACTTGTATATACTCTCAATTTAGTCCACAGATAAAATTTCATATTTCAATAATTTACTTAACATATACAGTAACACACTTTTACATACAAATGACTTTTTAAAAAAATTTTAGCTTGTCAAAAAAAATTCTGAACCACCCTCTCTTTTGTCTGGATCCACCACTGAGAACAGCAGTAAACCCGTGAATAGTGATAGGTATATGGAAGTTTCCTCAGGTAGCGCAGATTCAAGCATCTTCATATCAAACCGGGCCTAGGTTTGGGCCACAATAAGCGATCAATTTTTTACATAGGAATATAACTCTTTAATAATTATCTTCTCAAAAAGAGATTAAGGCAATGCAACAGAGCAAAACAAAGCAATGATTAGTCATATTTATATGGATTGTTGATTGATTGATTATTATTATTATACCTCTACTGAATTTTTCCCTATCTAACATTAGATCGCTAGATGTGACTATTTCCCTAGAAATCATTTTAAAAGAATGGACTAATCCCCGTATGTTAGTCAAGTGAGCTAATCCCCGCTTCGAAAGCTAATTCCAGGTTATCCGTAATCCTCTAGGTTTTACATTAAAATTGGTATTATATGTGAATGGACTAATCCCCGTGTGTTAGTTCATTGACCTAATCCCTGCTTTGAAATCGCGCTATCTGAATCCTCTAAATTTTACGTTTGTATCGGTTAATAAAACAGTTAAAAGTAAATCATAAAATAGTCCTGGCCTTGGGGAACTGAAATCTTGCTAACTCCCTCAATGATATACCTTAACTGTATATTGTTGTTTAACACCGAGTTGTCAATATTTCAGCCATATTTTGACGAGAACATTTAGTGTATATGGCCATTTTTGAAGTTTCTCTGGCCATATTTATATGGATCATTGCCGTGCATTGTCATGCGACATGTTCTGATGGATGACAATATGCACAGTGAGGGTAGGTACACATTGTCGCCGGCGACAATATGAACAAGACGACAAAATGTACCGTCAAAATCACGCTGCATGAAATAGCATACGAGACACGTCAGTGTGATATACACCCCAATTACATTCACAAAACTACCAAAAAACAACAAAAGAAGTCTTTAAGCAACAATATCTGTGGGGCGACAATATGTACAGTGAGGGTGAGGCACATAATGTCGCCAGCAACAATATGTACATGTGTTACTTTTCAGCCGGTGACAATATTTACCGATGGACTACAATATGTGCAGTGAGGGTAGGTACATATTGTCGCCGACGACAATATGTACAAAACGACAATATGTACCATCACAAATGCTCTCCTCGCCTTTTGTACTCAATAAATCTTTAACTCCACTTGATTCTGAATCATTAAATTGACCTTAAAAACAGCAATGATTGTATAATGTAATGAAATCAATATATCATCGATTTATTCCCAATGAAGCTCAAGTGAGCATTTTGGCCCTTGATTTATTATTTTTATTTTGCCCCCTAAAAGTTTCAACTTTAATCCGTTCTAATTCACAAGGGGTCATTATTCTACGGGGGTCATTTTTCTTCACGTAGGGTATGCAGGTTTTTAGGGTTATGACACTTTTTCTACGGGCAAAAGGGTCATTTTTCGACGTCGAATAATGACCGGGGGTCATTTTTCGCCGTTGAATAATGACCGGGGGTCAATATTCGACGTCGAAAAATGACCCCCGGTCATTATTCTATGGGGGTCATTATTCGTCTTTACACCGGAATTAATTTTTATAAAAGGCTAGTTTTAGAGTTTAAGGTTATATTTTGGATAACGGGAGGGGAGGGGGTCCTGCCCCCAAGCACCTGTGCAAAAAACAAAATCAGAACATAAACAAAACTAAAAAAAGTTACTGACAAGAGCCTGAGGGATCCAAAGGTTTGAACTCTATATAGAAAATAAAAATCAAATTCTGAAAATCTTGCCTTGGAAGGACCGATATCATGGATAATACTATACATGTGTATTCCTTGTGACATACCCATATTCTTTGGGTACCAATATGTTTGACTTCATGACCTTGACCTTTGAGTTTCACCTAATTCTGAACAAAACTTTAACCTTAGCTTGGTAGTAGGGCTTTCATTATTTCACATGTGTATTCCTTGTGACAAAACTTTTCTTTAGGTACCAATGTTTGACTTCGTGACCTTTACCTTCGAGTTTCACCTACTTCCGAAAAACAAAACATTGGCCTGGTTCCAATCTGATTAAAACCAGCCCCCTTCTCCTTTCACTCTCAGAGTGAAAGGAGAAGGGGGCTGGTTTTAATCAGACTGGCCTGATTCTAGGAATTTTATAATTGACATGTGGATTCCTTTTTACAAAACCTTTCTTTGGTTAATAAAAATTTTTACCTTGTGACCCTGACCTTTAAAGTTTGACCTAGTTTTGGAAAACTTTAAGCCTTGCCCATATCTTCTGAATGGTTAGTGACAGGACTTTCATTTTACACGTGTTGTCATTGTGACAAAACCTTTCTTTGGATATCAAAATTTTTGAACTCCTGATCTTGAACTTAGTGTTTCATCTTCTTTTGAAAATTTTGACCTTGGCCATAACACCTGAACAGTTGGTGCTTGAGCTTTAATATTTCATTCCTTGTGACAATTTTACTTTACGTCTACTTTTGAATAACTTTAACTTTGGACTAGTGCTTGGACTTCACATTTCAAATGTATGTTCTTTATGAAATATGGAGATAACGAACAATATTCAAGATCAAAAGTCCATTCAAACAATAAAAATCTGGAGCAGAGCGAACACGGACCTCTAAAACATAAGAGGTGGGATCAGGTGCCATGGAGGAGTGAGCATCCCCTTCCGACCGGTCATGATCGGGTGAAATGGGAAAAAAACGTAGACAATTCAGCGTGTAAATAATGGCCTAACAATTATATTAGTATGAAAAATACCAGTCAGCATTTGACTTATGATAGGTTGTATTTGCTTACAGGGTCATTGTATCGACCATAAAACTTGCGAAATGATGACTGTTGATATTCTTGTTTCATCAACTTGTTTGTCAATAGCTTGTCTCGTTTTAGAAATTGTTCGTACGTTGAGCATGCTCTTGCGTATCGAATCAACTGAGAGACATAAACTCCATATGCTGGTGTTAATTAAGGTATATTGCTACCTACTCATGTGTGCGATATTCAACATCAGTCACACTGGCATGCATAAATTAATTTATTCAATCAAACTTAAAAACATCAGCTAAAATGAAGAAGTAGCGACATTCGATCAGCTGCAGTGAAACTGACAATCAAACAAGGGTCTTTAAAAAATAATAACGAATAAATCTAAAACAACAAAAATTATAACAGTAACAAGTATTAACGTAAAATTTATAATAAACAATTAATGATATGCAAAACAATGTATGCATGAATTAATTTATGATATATGTCTGATGACTTTCTAAGCGTCATTCGCGGTTCTCGGCAGATAATGCGTTATGTGAGTGGTTAATCCGTATCCCAAAGTTTATATGACATCCCAAGATTTTTGGCATCTTTAAGACGATGACTGTCGTAAAAAGGTAAGGATTTATTCTCATACTTTTTGTAGTTTTAATCCCTCCTTTCCCCTTTTTTCTCTTGCTTGGTTATTTATTTCTTTCCGCTCGGGCAGTCAGTATAAATTACCAATAAATCATCGTTTTATGCTTAATATTTTATCCCTGCTATTAATTAAGGATGTAAACTGTCTTAAAAGTAAAATTTATGTTTTGTATTAGTAGATCTATGATCTAAATATCGCAATATACTTTATCTACAGTATTAGGGGAATGTCATGTGTCAAACTTCAAATATCGACGCTTTCACTCAACAAATCATCCACAACAATGTATTTAATTAAGAAAAAGGAATTAATATTTAGGGCGGCGAAGAATTTTCTTATGTACGTGGCTTTATGTAAATAAGCTAGCTGTTTTAATTGCGATTTTGGTAAGTTTTAATGACGATGATTCAAGGCGTGCCCCGTATGAATGTTCCTTCTGTAATTCTTATGTAAAACATTTTATTATCGTGTTTTGTATATCATCATAGTAAATTTAAGCATATAATTTAATTGTAAAACTCATAGGGCTGCATGCTATTCTCATAAAGCACCAAGACTATCTCTGATAAAAGAACCAAACTGACATGCATAATTAAGAGGCTCATGTGCCACATTGCTCACCTGAGTTACTATGGCCCTGCTGTTCTCCATCAACAAATTTCCCCCCTATATATTCCTATGTAAAATTTTGATCACATATTGTGGCCCCACCTTACCCCCAGCAGTCATGAACAGAACAAATTTGAATCTACAATGCCTGATGATACTTTTATATTCCACTTTGATTTACCCCAGTGGGTCATGACTTGAACAAACTTGAATCTACACTACCTAGCTGAGGATGCTTCCATATAAATACATGTATGAATTATCATGGCTTTGCTGTTCTTGAGAAGATTTTTAAGAGTTTTTCTATGTATTCCTGTGTAAAACTTTGATCACCCATTGTGATCCCACCCTATAGCACCGGGGATCATGATTTGAATAAACTATATATACACTGTACACTACCTGAGGATGGTTCATATAAATATGGCTAATCATGGCTTAAATGTTGTTCTTGAGAGGAAATTTTTAAAAAGATTTTTCCTATATATCGTATATATCTTTTAATCGCCTATTATGGCCCCACCCTAGTCCTAGGGTTCATGATTTGAACAAACTTCAATCTACACTACATAATAAAGCTTTCACATTAGTTTAATCATTTCTGGTCCAGTGGTTATTGAGAAGATTTTTAAAAGAAACCATGAAACTTTCACTAATTTTGAATTATCACCCCCTTGAAAGAGGGTGTGGAGCTTTATTTAAAAAACTTGAATCCCCTTTACCCAAAGATGCTTTGTGGCAAGTTTGGTTGAAATTGGCCCAGTGGTTCTTGAGAAGTAAGTTGAAAATGTGAAAAGTTTACAGATGACACACAGCAGATGGAAACAAATATTAAAATAATAGAATACAACTAAGACTCAGACTTCTTTGTAATAATGAATATTGTACAATTATTCCCATAGCAATGACAAATTCCCAATGGCAACAAAGCAAAGAATATTCATAACAGTACGTCGCAAATCAGATAATTCTGTCTTATAATTGAGGTTAAGCAAAACTGACAGTGTAACAATGGTCTGACATATACATCAGATTTCTTGGTAATTAAGGTAATAAAAATTATTTCACAGTAATTTCTTCATGAGGCTTTTATATAATTTCAACTTGTTCTTTCCATTTTTTAGAATATATCTTAATTATCTCCCCTTGAAGAGTTTGTGGCTCTTCAATTCAACAAACTTGAATCCCCTTCACTCAAGGATGCTTTTATGGCAAGTTTGGTTGAAATTGGCCCTGTAGCTCTAGAGTAAAAAATGTTAAATGTTTACAGACGAAGACCAAATAAATGGATGCTGCAGAAAAAATATGATTTAAAAAGCTTACTTGAGTTTTCAGCTCAAGTGAATAAAAAATTGATGATGGATTTATTATCATATTAGTACGTACTTTACAGTATCTGCCTACCTACACATATCAAATTATGAATATCAAATTATGCTGCATAAAAAAATAAGGAATTCAAGGTGATTTTTGTATGACCATGATATATTCTTATTTAGAGCTTTGGATTATTCTAAATTAACCTTACGTAACAGATACACCAATAAATACAACAAAAATGTAATATTATCTATCTTATTAAGATGATGGAAAGAATGATAAACAGTAAGGTTGAGACATTATAAAGTTTATTGAAGAGATGGTCGATCTATAAGATGTAAGTTTATGTCCAAGTTATGTATCACAATTTAAGTGAATATCTTTCACCATGAAATATTAATAACAACTTTCTTCACGAGGTTCTACACAGAGACTCTTATTTGAATCCAAAGAATTTCCTCAGTCTTCCTCTTAATGATTTCTTTTTTGGTAGAGTGGGCACCTGAAAAATAAAATTAATAATATTCATAATTATATGACAGAAAGTTGAATTTTATATCTTTTATAATGTAGATATAGCAAAGATTAAACACTCATCACTGAAATTAAATTTATGATCAATAACACTGGTTGTTAGACCACAGAGTTTTTTTTTCTTCTCTTTTTTGTTTTTTTTTTAAAACAAAGTACATTAAGGTATGTTAGCTTTTGAGAAAAGGTCACAGATAATTCACATGCATGAATTGGCAGGTTGTTTTTTTTTCAGAATTAGATTTTAAATAAACTATTTTACATAGAATAACATAATATTTACTGAAATTATTAGATCTGACAAAATATAATTGAGGTGAAAGTAATTAATGTAAAAATTACAATTTAAAGGCAAAGAGGTCAAGTTTATTGTATTTTTGCTCAGTAACATGCACACTGACCCCCAATTTTCTTTTCAATTTTGAGTTATACTGAATGAGCAGATATTTAAAATAATACTTTTCAAAAAAAAAAAAAATCCTTGACATTACCAGTGTCAGGATTGGCATACTTTAATACATGATACTTTTACTTGATTGTCTTTTTTGCTGAATTAAATTCATTGATAGAAATAAATGCATATACAAATAACTACATACCTTTTCTATACTTGGGATGCAGTGATCATTCTTGATTTCTGTTCTCTTGTGGCAAATCACACTCTCAACATCCTAATAAGGAAGAAATTATTCTGTAAAGCACTTTTTATGACAAAAAAGATGTGTGATTCTATATTTTCGACCCCCCCTCCTCCCCCCAATTTCAGATTTCAATTCGGAAAGAATATTGATTAATTATCTTCTCCCAATTAGATGGCACATATATATGCATAAAATTTGTAAAACATATTTACACAATATAATGGAATTATTTTGCACAGGAAATATTAATAAAATTAATGTTTAAAAAAAGTCATCATATCAAATTTTTACCTGTGGAGAATTTTTAAAAGTTTCCACATTGAAGAGGAATAATTTTCTTGGAACAAATAAATCTTGTTCCTCTTCAGGCATTGTTGTGTCTGGTTTGCTGGTTTTCTGAAGAACATGAAACCTTTCATCAAGGTATTTTACAACAATATTAGATTTTTTAAAATTTTCATTTTAGGTCAATATTATGAAAATTAAGTAGTCATTCATTCTATATGTATAAGATTTTTAAAAAAAAAAAAAAAAAGAAAAAAAAAAGGAAATCGTAATTGAGTGAAAGATGTGACTTACATCCCTAAAAATATTCTCAACCTTTTCTTCTAATTTTCCATCTTTATGTATCTTTGTCCCAGTGTCTAAAGTTACATGTACCTACAAAAAAATTAGAATGAAATGTGTAAATAGAATTTCATCTTGTCTCAAACATACTTTGCAGCATTGACTTATATCTGTAAAAACTTGGGTAATACATACACTTAAGGAATTTTTGCTAAAATTGCAATTTTTGGGAACATTCACCTTAAGTTCTTTCATCATTTCAAGTATGAATTGTTTTTGTTGCAAGATCTGTTTCTTTCGGAGTTCTCTACTGGCCCAAGCTGCCTACATAAGAATAACAGTAAATTAAGACAAATTCAACTCTGAAAATCAAAAATAAACACAGGAACATGTATATACAGTCAAACCTTGTTATCTTGAACTCAATGGGACTGAGAAAAAAACTGAGAGATATCTGAGGATTTGAGAAATGTTAGGAGTAAAATACTTACATTGTACTTTGACATATACATGGTATTTGAGATATCAGTGTTCGAGATATCAAAGTTCAATTGTATACATAATTACATGTAGGTAAATGAAGAATATTCACAAGAAAATTTACCATCAGTTCTTCGTGAATCTCTCTCCACATTGTTTCTCTTTTTTCAATCATTGCTTTCTTTTCAACATTTCTGGAGGTCACAATCTAAAAATCAGAAATTATGGAAAATTTACAATTTTGTTCACTTTGAATTTTTCTACATTCAAAATCTTGAAAGTTTCCACTTTTTTCATAGGTTACCCAATAAGTATTTAACATATAAACATAAACACTATTTATAACTGCCAATATTTCACATTTACCTTAAGCTCTTTAAACATCTCTGACATCGTTGCCTTTTGCATTTGGAGCTGTTTTTCCTCTAAATTTCTTTTGATCAAAACGGTCTGTTCAAAAATTTGATAGAATTTAAAAAAAAGTTCAACTTTTAAAAAGAGAAAGAAGTTAATGTTAAAATTTAAAAACAGTAATCGAGGGACATAACAATAAATTCAAAATAAAAAATAAGATAAATAAAGGACATAAAAACTTACCATCAGCTCCTTGTGAACCACTCTGCTCATTGTTTCCATGCTCTCCATTATTACCTTTCTGCACTCTACTCTGGATGCCACTGCCTGAAAATTATTTTTTTAAATTATTGACTTCTTACCCTTTTGGCACATTGTTTATTTTCTACATTTTTAAAACCTCGAAATTTCCCATATTTTTCATCTAGGTCAATATTACAACAATTGATTATTACACAAAGTTATTACTTCTATTAAGTAAATTTACCTTAAGCTCTTTGAACATCTTTAACATTATTTCTGTTTGGTGCTGATTCTGTTTCTTCTTCATATTTCTCTTTGTAAAAAAAGTCTGTATAAAATTTCTTGATAAAATTAAAACAAGCTCAAAACAAATAAACAAACAAGTTTTTGATAAAATTAAAACAAGCTCAAAACAAATAAACCAACAAAGAACCAAACAGGAAAATTAAATTTGAGAACATAATAAGACACATTTCACAAAAAATTATAATTTGATATAAAGAATATGCACATGAAAACTTAATTACCATCACTTCTTCATGAATCTCTCCCCATGTTTGTTCTTTTTCCCTTATTGCCTTTCTTCTGTCTACATCTCTGGATGCCACTACCTGAAAATCACAATTTATCAGAAATTATTAACAGTTTATATATTTTTTGTCATTTAAGAAATAAACAACAATGTTAAAAAGTTCTCTGGGAAATGAACTTGGTTGGTCACGTGATCAAATCCTGTGAAGCCCGAAGGGCTTCTCAGAAGATTTGATCACGTACCAACCAAGTTCATTTCCCAGTGAACTTTTTAACATTGTTGTTTATTACTTTTATTTACATTTGAGACGAATATTCTGAATAGAACTGCATTTATTACACGAACGGCCCGCCGTATTGCTATGTTGTGACGCGCAATGACCTAGAAGTTGTTTGGTCTTGAGAGTTCGCCTCGCTCCAACATTTGAATACTTACATTGATGTTTAGCAGTCCAGTTCAGGAAATATCTGTTCATAATGAAAAAACAATGATCGCTACTGGGAATTATCTTACTATTATTGTACGAGTTCTTTATATACAAAGTCAAAAGCGGTGCTATCGTCTTCAGTTTACATACCTTCAAAGGAATTTCGGGTTAAAAAGGTAAGCGTGATTTTAGGCTAATTAGAAACATTCTTCACACCGAAGAAAGATCTAACGATCATTTGTTGAACGAAAAAAAAATATATGTTTCAATAATTTTATCTTTTTCATCGCTTTGACGGTTCAGAAGTTCCGAAACCAGTGTCACTGTGACAGAAATATGTAGACAAGATATCGTCTCGCTGTGTGATTCGGTCACGCCATGACCTCTGACCCCCTAATAAGTTCATACAGAATTGAACATATTTTCTCTTCTATAGGTTCATCTAAGAAAAATATTTGCAAATGTAAATAATGTGAATTGTCTTCATTTTTCAGTTCCTGAAACATGCACTCAACCAAGAACTGAAATATCTGGCAAAATTACCTTAAGCTCTTTCAGCATTTCCATTATAATCTTCTTTTGTCTCTGGATTTTGATTTCCTCCATATTTCTTTTAGTCAAAAGTCCCTGTATGAAAAAAATTACTATATCAAGACAAATTCAACTTTTTATACCAAATACATTTAATAACAAAATTATTATAGAATAATTAGGTAAAAGAGCATAAGCAAACATGAAAATTTTACCATTAGTTCTTGGTGAACTGGCTGCCACATTTTTCTTGCTTTTTCTGTTGATAGAAATCTGCTTCTGAATTGCTGAACCTTTTTAGGGGCTACTCTCTGTAATACAATTAGAGTATTTATCAATTTGATCTAAAAAGAGAAAGTTAAATTCATTTTGAAAGTTTATATACATGTAGTACCTTTAGTTCTTCCTGCATTTGCTGTTTGGACTTAATCTGTGGTGCCATTACTTTCAACTCAGATTCTACCTTTGATAAATTGTCCTGAATAGAGAATTTACCCCAAAAAAACGTGTAATACATGCATGAAAGATATCATATACAACAATCATATAGACCAAAGATGAAATTTGCTGATTTTTTTTAAGGTAAATTTCATAAGATTTGAATGAATTCGAAATGTGCTCAATTGTGAAAAAAGAAGTACTCTAATATATATTCAGTCATTTAAAAATCAAATGCATTTATTAAGCTTTGTAATACCTGTTGCATTTCCTCTTCTTCAACCATCTCAATCCAACTTTTTTCGAATTTTAGTATCTCTTTCTTTGATTTCTGAAAAAAGCAACAAAACACTTACTTGGAGTTCTCTCTCTCTCTCTCTCTCTCTCTCTCTCTCTGAGATTATTCAATATAAATTTTATACTTTTAATTGATAACGTTTACTCTCTTACACAAAACAAATGATCCATGTATGGTGTACATATAAGGAATTTTTCACCACTTGATAGTTTTTGCTAAAAGACACAAATCTAGCATATTGTTCTATATATTTTCCTTAATTAAAATATGCAAAAAAGATTCATCTAGTCCATCTGGCTAAATTACAGTGTACAATACTCACCAGGTCCTTCACAGCTTCTTCGCCAAAGTCCAAAATTAATTCTTCGTTCTGTAATGGTTAAGAAAGAAATGATTTTACCGATATATCTAAAAATTAAGAACAATCATATTCAACTCGTTGAGTAAATAATCGACGTTCCGAGATAATGATTATTATAAAACTTGTGTTATTTTGCTTTCCCTTCTTCTAGCAGCACAAAACAACACAATACAAAGATGGTGTTTTCGAAGATTTAAAAAAAAAACAATAACAAACAAACAACTGTATGCATCATTAAAACCCGATCCACTTTCTATTACACGTTACATTTTAGTTTTTTAAAAAAAATGGTTAATTTAATTTTATTTTTTTCCCTAGGAACTTAATATCCCCCCCCCCCCCCCCCGCGCGAGCAAGATTTTAAGAGTAAGAGTTGCAAATAAGATCCTTACAAAAGGGATGGGAAGCATGTCTACTGGTATATCAGCCGAGCGGCAGGCCAGCTCAGTCAGAATTCCTTGGAGTCGTTCCATGATAATTTTTTCACTCAACACTGCATTCTAAAAAAATGATAAAAAAATTTAAATGTGTAGCTTGAATTGTTCATAAATTATAAGAACTCCACAATAATAAATGCAGAAGGTATAATACTTTCGTTCTTTAATTACTAAAGACAATTTTCAAGCCTTTAAGGCAGAAAAAAAAATTATTTAAAAGTTGGTATTAATATAACAGGTATAAATAAATATAGCGATCTTTCCGATAAATTCGAAGGTCAAAATTCGATTTCGGGGAATTTTATTTCATTTAAAAAAAGAAAAGAAAACGACTACAACCAACATGATAAAATCAGATCCTTTTATCCGCTCACATAGACCGCCAGACAAGGAAGCGATCTATGCGAGCGGATCAAAGGATCTGGACTACAAATATTATTAATTCTGGAATTTCACATGCATCGCCCAATCTTAAAATACAACCAGTGAGGCAAACTAGGTGCTAATGAAAATTATATTGCAAAAAGGCGCGTTCGCAAAAACCAAACAACATTTCAGTAACGGGAAAAAGTTTTACTCACAACCTGCATTTCCATCGCTTTTGTGTAAACAAAACTTAACTATGACGTCATAGGTCATCGTTAAAGACCATAATCATGACGTAACAATGTGTTAATATTTTATCAAAATATTGTTTTGAAAGGCACTCTAAATCAAAACGATACTTTCTTTGAAATTATACCTGAATTATAATAATTTAAAAAAAAAAGAGGTAATCATGTCAAATATTTAGGATAAAAGGCTTAACATTTTTAGAAAAAAAAAATTAAAAAGAAAAAATGTTCAAAGTAAAATGTCAGCTTGGGGTCATTTCTAAGTCCGGGTGCCTGATAAGAAAAAAATGTTCAATTAATGAGATGTGAACTGATGCGTACTTGCACTAAGAACCATCAACTAGCAGGACAAACGATTTCTTCCGAACATACACTTTAAAAATGATACAAACTATATTTGCTAAATATCAAAGAGTCTACTTACAGTTTGCACGTCTGCGACTTTGTTGTGAACAAAACAGTATTATGACGTCATAATCATCGTCAAAATCCTTTGATGTTTGAAAACATTTTGGATGATTCTGATTTCCGGAATACGAAGCGGAATGAATAGTACTTCAGCTATTTGTTGTCTATCCCACAGGTTTTAACGTTATATTTGTGTATCAGTTGGTCATTGTAAGTAATTATATAGAGAAGAAAAACCATAAATGTTGAATTTATAATTTGTCCTTTGGAAAACGAAACATCACTGATGCAGTTGTAAAATCTTCGAATATTAGGGAAGGAGGTTTGAATTTATAATTTATCCCTTGGAAAATGAAACATCACTGTTCCAATATGGGGGGGGGGGGTTATGATATGTTTCAGGTTTGCAAATGTGTTTATATGGCATTTAGAGGCTTCGGAATACAACGTGTGAGATTTTTTCCATGCAATGAGTGATATACAAATGATAAATATAGGTGCTATACATATTTATTTCTTAATCTTCTCTTACCTTTGCATGTCACCCTTTTTCCCGTAGTATTTGGGTGTTATTATTATACTAAGGGTTAAAAAAAATTACAGAAACAAGTGCCTGTGGCATTTGGTTATGAATTCGTATAACTAGAAGTAGTTAGGTTTGGTCAAACTCAAAGTGTTGAATGATATACATTATGAGTTTTTGTAAATGTGTTTTCTGTACGTAAAATAAAATGGCGCCTGTATACATTTAAAAATTTAAAATAAAATTCATATTCTATAAAACGTTGAACAACTTTATTTGCTTTGTGTTCTCAGGATATACTTGGTAACAGCTCTCATCTACAAGTTCATCACTATTTGTTATACCTGCAGTTGCCAAGAAAAACATCCTCAAACAGCCATCTGTGACGCAGAATGGGGTGAGTTTAAATTCTGATACAGCAACATACCCGTATATCAGTTTAAAAATACAATGAGAAAAGGGGGGAAAAGTGTATACTGTGACCTGTCACGAAATATTATTTTTTGAGTAAATAATGCATGTGTGAAATAAAATCAACTGTAGTCTAATAAATATATTTTCACTCAAAACTTTTTTCAACAAAATATTTAGATTTTATAGCAAAGTTTTCACGGAGAAAAAATAAATAGAATCGATAAATGCAGAGATTAAGATTTGATGAGCTAGTTAAAACATTTTGATGTTTTGGCATGGTTGTCTGTTCGTCTGTCTGTATCAAAATCGTTTCCGGTCATAACTCCTGAACCCTTGGATAAAATTCAAGCTATGGCATGTTGTTGTCCGCAACCAAAGGCATATCATATCTCAAAGTCACTTTCCATTCATGGTAAAATGGTGTCCGAAACATGACTGGAACCCTGTTCTGGAATATACAACATGTAAAAGCGATCGAATTTGAGTACATTGCTGTTAACTTTTTATTCTATAAATAGTTTAGTGAAACATGGAAACGATCTGATTAAAATCAAACCCTTGCTTTAGCTCTTTTTTCTTAATTGTCGCTAATGAGATTAAAAAAAGAGGGGATCGAGGATCTGATTTTGACGATGGATCAAAGATAATTGCCTATAAATGTTTTCCCCTAATTGTTAGTGAATTGTCTTGATGTAGACTCAAGATCATATCTTCAAGGTTTTGGGCACAGGGTTATTAGAGTAAACCTATCTCAGGGCCATAACTTTGAAACCCTTGATTATCATTACAGTACTAGTATTAGTATTTATACTTGAAAACGTTGTTGTTAATAACTATTATGATAGATGTTTCATGAACTTGACCCATAGATTATGGTCGTGTCATAAAGGTCATATAGTGATTGATATAAATATCAATGGGCAAGGGGATACATCTGTTTTCGTAACAATATATATATATATATATATATATATATATATATATATATATATATATATATATATATATATATATATATATATATATATATAGTTTTAACTACCATTTTAAAAAAGTCAGGGTATATAATAGGTATCCAAATTTTTCTCTTAAATACCTAATTATCTACCTTTACCTACATTTTTACAAAAGAAGGAGCTGCTGCTCCTCTGTGTTCAGCTCTGTTTTTACATCTTCGTTAAATCGTTCTCCAATGCACTGATGTTTTACAAAATATTATCTTGGCCCCATGAACCCAAAAGTGTGGTAAAAAAGAAGCTGGTCATCATTTTGAGTGTAGCAGGAAATTTTGATTTGCCATGTCATGTAGATGTAACGTATGTAAAGTTTGGAAATTTGATACCTGTCACAGGGTTAGAAGGCTACTAAAATAGTGTAGATCCTTATGAAAAATTTTCATTCAAAATCTTTCAGCATTTTGGTTTTAGAAATTTTGAGTCTATTACGTGTACATAATATTAATGGTACATGTACCATAAAGTTTCTGGTGCTGCAAGCATAACCTAGATTTTCTGGATGAGTGATCAGTTTGAACTCTTTAAGCAGATTTATTTACTTGTAAACTTCCCGTGCTGCTTTTCTTAGCAGGTTCATTTCCAAGAAATTATACTTCCGATGTTGATCAAACTTTATAAGTATGATGACAATAATGATGAATTCTATCGATAAATATTCGGATTCTGAATGTGACCTTTATTTTCTGAATAAGTGCTCGGGAAATATTTTTAGAGGTCCATGAGCTTCCTTAACTAATTTTGCATTTACATATTACCACTATTGCTTTCGATACTGAGTACTATTACTGTGATTTGTGTATTCTGGATGATTGATGATTGATTATAAAAAGGTTTTTTGGAGCAGATCGATTTTAAAGTAACTTAAACTCATACCTTGATCAGTATTCCACAGATATGACATCTTAAGTACATATTAAACTTTTGAGAGTACGTGCTTTTACAGTTCTAATGTTTAAGGAGGGTGAATGGATAAAGCCAATATTTATGCATACCCTTAAAGTCATGTTGCAAATGCTCAAGTTTCCGATATTTTACAGCTAGAGATCTTTGAGAAACTCTAGAAACTCTAAGTCTTCCACTTGTGCCATTTGTGCATGCTGCATTAGGTATGCGATTGTCTCGGATATAAACTGTATATAATATTTCTAGGATTCACAGAGTATTATCTAGGTAAATTCTCACAAATGAGCGATGTTTCTTTCGCAAATAAATACCGATATGATGCTACAAATTTCAAAACAACGTAATTGTTTTGTAAGTCTGATATTACATTAAAGAAGGATTATTGAATTCTTCCCTCAATATGGCGTGTAAAACGTTGCATTATTATACATTTTAGCTCACCTGAGCTGAAAGTTCAGATATGTAAATATGTAAAAACATGTTTATGTATATAAAATTCGCTTTCAGTGAGACAATGGTGAAAGTAAGTAAATTATATAGAAAGGATAAAGCAAGTATAAATGACCGAATTTCTCTTTTTAAAAAGATAAGAGTGAAAAATCAGAAGCGATATGATACCTATCCATATATAAACAGACGACAGTGATTCCTGTAGGTATTGAAGATAAATATTTAGGACAATGTTTTAAGAACACAATTACTGAGGAGAGAGACGTGAGAATTAACGAGTTGTGTAAAATTTCCAATTCTGATAATTGATAATTACATCTTTCGTTTTTCTTGAAACAAATATTGAAATGTCACAAGCTATTTTTCAATTAATATGTTTGTCATAAAAATGCCTACGTGCCACACATATTCAAAAACATGTACCTCTAATTGAAATACCTCGATATACTACAAACTACACCCTCAACAATTTTCAAGTATATTTTCCAATTACTTACATTGTAATTGTTTATTTCTTCTATTGTTAATTAGGTGCTAATATAGTTTGGCTTGACATACTTCAATGTATTTCTCTTTTTAAATGGTTTGGTTATTATGGAGGTTTAACCCTAAATGGGATTATACACTATAAAATTGATATATTTCTTTATTTCAAATAAATTTTTCATTCAAAAGTGATTGGTAAAATATTATGCATAGTTAGTTTAGATTGAACTCATTATTTTTAGAAAAGGTACCAACTGTACACTTTTCCTCTGCATGTGAAAATGTTATATTTTGCAATGCAAGATTGAAATGTTAGAAATTGAAGCTTCACCTCGGAAAATACATGTAGGCTTGCTCTTGGAGAACTGGAATCTTGCCGACCTCGGGAAATAGGCTTGTTCATGGGATTTTGCTGACTCCCTCAGTGATATACTTTAACTGTATACCTCCATTGCCAACTGCTAACGTCAGTGTACTGCGAGCTGCCATTGTCAACTTATGACTTCCATTGCTTGAAGTGATATTGTTAAGTACATGGTATTTAGAACAAATCTACGATTAAACTCTTTAAAACGAACCAAAAAGCAAGAACAAACCCAATAAAATGAAAGCAGGATTTTTATCAACTTGTTTGTCAGTAACTGCCTCGTTTTAAAGATTGTTCGTACGAAGAACATAGTGAATCAATTGTGAAATATAAACCCCATATGCAGTTGATAATGGTAAACTTACTTTTTCCCACGGGTTTATAATTCTACGGAATATCTGTTCAATCCGCGGGAAGAAATTTATGCGAAATTTTATTTTGTCTTTGTATACCCTTGATGCATTTTAGAATAGCTGTAACAAATTTGCGCGGAAAAACTGGGACCGCATTCATAGCGTATATTAATCCCACGCTGAAGAAGTACATGTACGTCTTCAGTATATTGTTACATAAATAAGGTAACCTGACAATAGAAAAGTTGAAATCACCACGTTTGTCATAAATTTTACTTGTTAGTTTGCCATCAATGTATTTCTATCTTTCTCTGGTAAAATATCCAAAAATGAAGAGTTGTGTCAGACTCCGTGGTGTCTTTTATTCGAATTGAACGGGATGGGGATATATCGAATCAACGTTTTATTAAAAAGAATTATCTGTTATTGTTAATCGAAAAAAGTCATTGATTTATCTAAAAGTCAAATTGAAGGCCACGACAAGAAACTTCTTTTCATGTAGATTTTTTAAATAAATTCAGCTTCATAAAAATATAAAAACAGATCTGCTTAGAAGGGGACACAATTGTAACCCATGGGATTCCAACAGATTGTTGGAAAACCTGGTACATGTTTTTCCATATCTTCCAATGATACATCTGGGCAGAGTTATATGACCTTGGTAATTTAACCTAGACCTCTGAAATATGGCATTGAATTAGATTATTATAAGACGTTTAGGTAATCAGCATCAAAATACTAAAGTTTGAATACATACAAGTCAAGGGTTGTATAGTTATAGCCAGGACATGATTTCATAAAGTCTTTGGCAACAACATATTCAAGTTCAAATCCATTCCATGCAAGGGTTCTTGAGTCTGTTTAGTATCTAAAGACTTACTGACTCTATCTTATTTCCTCAACTTTCCATGTACTAAAATATAAAATATGTCAGATGCTATTTTTCGATTCGGAACTTCCTTTTAGCTCAACCCCCCCCCCCAAAAAAAAAAAACCTCATTAAATCAATGAGAAATAGTCTGTTCAGAATAGAGGCACGCCTACATATATTTGTTAAAGTACCTTTTATCGTTCAAACAGAATTACTGAATTAGTACTCCTTCAAAAAGAGTTTTTAGATCTTGTATAAATAAAATCGCGGATAGATATTTGGTTGGAAAAGTGGCATTATATATGGGGGGGGGGGCAGTTGTTGGCGAGGACAGCTCTCATTTGGAAATGGGAGACAACAGTTGGCATTATCAATAATCAGTGGCATTTGGAATAATTCCATATTATTCAACTTTGAACATGTTGCCTTTAAGCTGAGTTATAGTTTTGTCTGGATTGATGGAGTCGATTGTCTATAAAGAACATCATTTTGATAACGACAAAAATGTCCAATAAATTTTAGAAATTTTAACATTTCCATTTATAAATAATTTGAAGGAAAATTTTGAAATGATATATGATAAATCCTCTTTAATGTGAATTAAGTCAGACTTGCACAACAAGTTGGTGTTGCATGGTGCATTAGGCATGACTTTTTCGAGGAGATATGATACTTTAAGGAGTGAATACGATATATAGGATCAACAAAGACTTTCTTTCATCGGTGTACATTTTGACAAGCAAGATAAATGTATGTTTGTTTCATTAAAATAAATATTAAAGTTGGGCTACAAATGTACAACTTTGACCTTTGAAATACGGTTTTGACTCAAGTACATGTCAAACTTTTGTGTCATCTTTAGGTTATCAGCATACTCAGGATTCAATACATAACAATCAAGGGATAAACAGTTATGACCGGAACATGTTTTTTCCATTTCATTGCCAATCACGACAATCCTTGAGATTTAACTCTGAGTTTGAAATTATGGCCCTTTTTTAGGTCATTGGCAGTAACATAATTATTCAAATTCAAATCCATTCCAACCATGACTCTATTTAATTTTTCAAACTTTCAATATACTAAAATCTGTCAGAGGCTGTTTTTCAATTAAAATGTTTGTATTAAAATGCCTACGTGCTACACATATTTAGAAATTACATGTACCCCTAATTTGGAAAACTTGGAATTGAACTTTAACGCCCTCGGTGATTTTAAGTCAAATAAGTTAAATAACATGTTATTTGTTACATTGTTATTTGTAAGACAGTAAATGCGTGTCTTGTCAATTTATTAAACTAATGAGGATGTATTCCTCTTTTAAAATGGTTTACCTATACCCTCACTGTGAAAACTGTGTTAAATTGATACTGATATCGATTGGTCACTATGCTTGATAAAATTTTCATTCAATAATGATAAGTTTTGGTTGTTTAAATTCGAACGCGTTTATTCTAAATAAGTTAAAAGTCAAGTAAATGGAAGTGGGTTTGTTTTGCGGTACCTATACTAGATTCCAAAACTCTATAAAAAGCATCACAATCAAAGATAAAATGCAGGGTCCAGTAAATGTTAAACCAAGTCACTATCAAATTTCAGATGTAATGTGCTACAACATAATCAAAAAGTGGTGTACATCAAATGTGGATGCTAAAATATTACGAAGAACGTTTGGAAAATTTAAAATTTGAAAACTTTTCAAACATCAATAGCATCAAAACTTGACTTTTCTACGCTTTATACAAATACTGCTCACGATAAAATTAAGGAGTGGGCTTTTTGACGTCATAGGCAACTGCTTCCTCAATAAAAATGGAACTCGTAAATTTTCATGTTTTGTTATTGGTCATCTACAAAATTATTTTGTTAAAAATCCTTCTGATTCTACATACAGGTACTCTGAAGTTGATAATAAAAAGATGCTGGAGTTCCTCATTGACAATATCTATTATAAATATAGTCTTTGGAGACAGGTTTTCAAACAATCTGTTGGAATTTTGATAGGCACTAATTGTGCTACTTTATCAGCCGACCTGTTTTTATAATCCTATTAAGCAGAGTTTATTCAAAAACTTCTACACAAAAACTCTTGCTTTGGCCTTCACCTTAACATTTAGATATATCGACGACATTTTGTCAATTAACAATAGTTAATTTCATTCATATGTCGACTAGATATATCCCAGTGAACTCGAAATAAAAGATATTACAGAATCTGCCACATCTGTTTCATATTTGGATGTTTTACTGACTATAGACGGTAATGGCCAACTAATAACTAAACTGTATGACAACGGGATGGCTTCAGCTTTTCCATCGTCAACTTCCCTTATTTGTATACATAATTATAGCATATAGTGATTCCAACATCACATGGTGATTATATATTCTAAATGACTCGATACGAAAGAGCATGCTCTGAGTACAATCAATTTTTAAATCGAGACAAACTACTGAAAAATAATTTAATGTTACAAGGATTTCAACAATTCTGTTTAAAGTAAGTTTTTGCAAATTTTACTGTTGTTAAAATGACCTTGTATGTAAATACAACCTATCGTTTCATGTTACATACCAATTGTTAGGTCATTGCTTTTATACCAAATTTGAGTACAGAGTAGTCCGTCTACTTGATCAAGACATAGGGTTTATGGCGGGTGTGGCCGGTCGACAGGAGATGCTTACTCCTCCCAGGCACCTGATCCCACCTATGGTGTTTCCAGGTGTCCGTGTTTTCGCCCTGTTTACGATTCGTTTTGTCTACTGTATTTATGAGATTGATTACTGTTCGTTATCGCCACCTTTTAGTAATTACACATTAAGGTTAAAAATCTTGCAATATCTCTCTGCATGCGAACATTTAACATACTGCTTTGTAAGAATAAATGCTATTCATATCATGTTTTGAATTTGAATTAACCGATAACTTTTATCTCCAACCCCCTTCCCACCTCCCCACCCCCACCCCTCCAAAAAATCAAAATGTACGTAAAAGAGGCATGCATGCAGTGCCTTAAACATAAAGTTTTGCCGATTTTCAAGTGTTTTTTTTCAATTTGTCAATGCTTTGTTAAATGCTCATGACGATATGAAATTACATCTTACTAGGAGAGCTTCCTCTCCTATCATTTATATAAGAAAAGCTATTGGAAAATAATCAAAATGTTATTGCAAAGCGTAAGGTAATTTTTTTTCTGTTTTCGTTAATAGTTCAATTTTCATACTTTGTATCAGAGAGTAATCTACTTTAGAGCTCATATAGGTATCAAAGTTATATATATACTTGAGAGCTATTATAGTTTTGAGCACATTTTTTTTAAAATTTAAAAAGGAATAAAGAGCTTACATAAAAAGAAGTAAATAGTCCTATACACACATCATTCCTCTTTCTTTCATCCTCTCCTCCTTCTCTCCCCCGCACTCTGATTCGGAACTTCCTTTTAGCTCTCTATCCCCAAAGACTACGTAAAAGGTGTGCACAGAATAGAGGCACACCTACTTTTATTTGTAAGAAAATCTTTTATCCTGCAACTACCCCTTGTATTGACCTAATATATACATTTGTGGTATCTCTCTATTATATAAACATGCAGAGAGCAAATATCTTCATACCTGTATGAAGTTTTTCGAAGGTCATAGGTCATTACGTGACCTAATCACACAGCGCAGTAATATCTACATAAAAAGACTTACTTAGCAATATAATTAGCATGTTTTTCGTGCATAAAAATGTACAAAATACGCAAGTAAAATAATAATAGTTTTATTTACAATGTAAACGAGTATTTAATACAGTTCTTGATCGATTTTACATACAGAATAGAAAACTAAGTGTTATAAGTTTCATGTCTGAGCTGCTTAGTCTCAACCTTTACCCTTATTTTTCTCGCAGACCTCTGAATGCTATAATTTTTTTTCGTTAAACTTTACTCACAATAAATTTGAAAATCTGTTGAAAAACATCAATGTAATGCAATCACGCCACAAACAGCTGACAAACACTGCGCTTTGGAAGTTCGGTAGGCACACCTCCATCATCGAGATCGTTGTGACGTTGTCTTAACAATGTAAGCTGTCGCCAGTGTCTCCATGTCAACATAATAAATTAATAAATATGCCTGGCTGAAATCGTAGATTTTATGTTTTTGATCAAATTTTATACTTGATTTCAAGTTATCTGGTCCGGACAAGTGTCTCCATCCATCCCTTTCCGACCGAAATTCCTCCAACTTTTTATTATCAAACATCGGACGTGTTTCTTGTGTTTTTTAACATCGAATATGGGTTCTCATGAATACAAAAATTCCCAGACACCAACATGCTCACTAAAATTGATCACAAGTAGCCTTTCACAGAATATTCCCTTCAAAACAGAATCATTTGCCAGATGAATTTGAAGCGTAACCGCTTTTCAAGCCGATTTACACCTAGCGTAATTTGTGAAAATCTACGACGTACAGTTAGTGCAATATTTATATTCGATTACATTCGATTGTCCGTCTCAAATGTATATATAAGTAATAAATTACAAGTTTAAAAACTTCAATGGGAATAATAATAAACCAAAGCTTTATTCGGTCAATGCCCTAATAGAGCCTCGTGCACGTATTCCAACGTTCTAAAAGCATTGTGACGTCATGAATATTGCAATTTTACGCCATGGCGTCTTAGTTTCAACTGCAGAGATGTACCTAAATCGGTTGAAAACAGCTCGTTTTGGAGGTCCTGTAAAATGTATTGCAGGATAAACAAAATACAAGGAGACTGTCTTGAAATATAAGCGAAAGTAAGTTCTGTAAATATAGAGTATGTGCATATACAATAACATACTCTATATTTACATTGATGACCATTGCCTATGTGTTAGACCCCCATCCCCACCCTAGATTTTCAGATTGAATTTATGTAGTGAAGTCATCAAAATGACCTTAGACCCATCACCCATAAAAAAACGCAGACCCCTGTCAAAAAGGTAGGGAAAGTCACATATACGAAAGAAAGCGACTGGTTTTAACCCCCCCCCCCCAAAAAAAAAACAACATTTGAACAAGTATCTTTGTTCTTGCCCCCCCCCACCCCCCCCCACCCCAAAAATCCGATTTTTTTGACTGGGAATGTACCCCCCCCCCCATCCCACCCCCAGCAAATAATTCCTGGATCCCGCATGCTTCAACTCTCCATGCATGTCTGTTACACAGAAGGGCAGAAGGACAACTATTTTTTATTAGACGTTTTATTTAGTTTAATCTCATATTTCAGCTTTTCTTGGGACTGTACAGGGTTCTCAGAATTTTACCGGAGCCAGTGGAAAACCCCAGCAGAAATATGAGATTTATATCAACAAGGTCATCAAGGCATGTGATATGAAAATCTTTTAAGTAACATTTTATACAACTGATAAAAAAAAACTGCCATGAACAATTTTTAAAATTCTTTTTAAGTACAAGGACAATCAAAATAAAATTTAAAAAATCTATGCAAAAAATTAATGCTTCCCCTCACATTTAGATTTGAGCCATTTCAATATTTTTTTTTCAAAGATCTTTTTGTAAAGAGAAAATTGTGTTAAAAAATTTAAAATCTTGACGATGTCAATGATGTTTTGTATGCATTCCGTTTTCTTACTTTGCATGCTCTTGTTTGTAGAATTCAAGTTAAAGAACATATTATAGTATCCTGAATGTTAAATGAGTAAATTTCAGAAAAAAAGAGAGAAAATTTCAAATACAGTAGACTTTGAGAAAAACCAGTGTTCTAGGTAAATCTACTTCACTTCAAACAGAAGCAAAAATACTAAGGTTGATTTTTTTACTCTATATTTTTCTAGGATAAAACGAAGTCAAAGCTGAAGGATAAGGCGATAGCAGTTGTGTTAACACCATCCCCACTTGATGATTGTGCTGTCAAGGTAGAAAAAGACCTTAAAGCCATATTCACAGGTATTGGAAGACTTGTATTCCACATTACTTCACACAATTTGAAAATACCACTGATAACAAGATGTGTTTTTGAAACACTGATGCTCCTGTATGGCAGCTTATGGCAAAGGTTAAAGTTTCTCAAATGCAAGTCCAACTCCAGGTCAAGAGATCAAAAATGTTGGTACCCAAAGAAAGGTCTTCTCTTGAGGAATATACCTGTGAAATATGAAAACCCTAGCACCAACAGTTGAAAAGTTATGGCGAAGGTTAAAGTTTTTCAAAAGTAAGTAAAATAGCAAGGTCAAGGTCAAATGGTGCCCAAGGGAAGGTCTTGTCACATGTGATAAACATGATTGTGAAATGTGAAGGCCCTAGAAACAAACGTTCAAATGTTAAGGCCAAGATTAATTTTTTTTTAAAATAGGTCAAACTCCAAGGTCAAGGTTAATGCTAAAATTGTTGGTATCCAAGGGAAGGTCTTGTCACAAGGAATGCATAAGTGAAGTATGAAAGCCCTAAAACCAACTTTTCAAAAGTTTTGGCAAAGGTTAAAGTTTTCAAATTTAGGTCAAACTCCAAGGTCAAGGTCAAAGGGTCAAAGTTGTTGGTATCTTAAGGAAGGTCTTGTCACAAGGAATACATAAGTGAAGTACGAAAGCCCTATCACCAACTGTTTAAAAGTTATGGCCAAGGTTACATTTTTCAATAGTATGTCAAACTGTAGGGTCAAGGTCAAAGGGTCAAAGATGTTGGTATCCAAGGATGGTCTTGTTACAAGGAATACACATGTGAAGTATGAAACCCCTGAATCACTCTAAAGATAGAGATTCAATACTTGAATTTCTTATTTTTAAGATTTTCATATTTACATGAACCAATAGACTCAAAGCAAAAACTTGACACAGGTTAAATATAAACATTTCCATGGGCTGTCTTTATCATTCTATAGATTATAAGCTTCTTTTAGAATTCAGTAAGTCGTGTCAAACCTTCTCAGTAATATAAACTCTGTTTTTCCACAGGAACTTTTGACAAATTAGGATCTCCTGCTATGAACAAGTGTAACTGGCATGAGGATTATTCCAATGTCCCAAAATGCCAAAGAAGAAATCTATTTAAAAAATTGTATGAGAAAAATTGCGGATGTACTGTAAGTTATCAAAAACTTTTCAAACTCGACATTTGTTTTTATATCTAGACTAACGGAGTTAGATATTGCAACTACTCTTCTGCGTTGCTAGTAAAGTCTAGAGAACAGTTTTTTTTTCTTCTCTTAAAGTTACAGTTTGAATTTAACAACATTTTAAAGTCCCTTTTAAAAGCAGTAGAGTTCCATTACATCCTAGAAGAAGGACCTAATTCATATAAACGTACCAAAAGCTTAAAAAGACCTTTCTAAATTCTTGAAATCAAATCAGCAAAAGTTAGGCATGTAAACAAGGATCCCCAACAAAACAATGTCGTTAAGTTTGTTATATTAATTAGGTTATTCAAAAGGGTTAAGTATAAACGAAGAAGAGCTAAATTGGCATTGAAATGAAAATAACAAATATTTTGTATTCAATCAAAAATGTAATAAAGTATAAAACTTAAGCTTGAGAATATTAAGAAGTTCAAATTTTATACTTTATTACATTTTTGATTGAATACAAAATATTTTTGATTTTCATTTCATACCCATCGTTGAAAAAAATTGCATTGTATTTTTTTTTTAAATGATATAATGTAAATATTTCTGTAAAATATTAATCAACAGGTCTGTCTTCCCGGTGAATGTTCATCAGACAGCGTACCTCACTGTGTCTGGCGTTCCCATGACGACTGTGACAACAGACACAGCCACTGTGCCATGTATCCAGGATGTAACAAGTGTTCCTGGAGACGTTGCGTCTCTTATTATGACTGCGAGGATGATCTAGAACTCTGATAGTCTTTGTGTATCCAAGAATGGCATGCCAATAAGTATTCATCATTTTATTAAATGACCGGAACTGTTAACCAATCCATTTGATAACCGGACTCCCAAAAGTATCCCCAGAAACATTATGTTTGGAGTGGTTTGGGCGATAAAAGTTTCTTGTTCCTTGTTTGATGATTGGTTGTTACCCGCCATTGCTTCTTCATTGTAAAGATCTCTTTTTACATTACACCAGATGTAAGAATGTTAGAATATTCCAATAAGGGGGAAACTACTGTATATCTCCTCCATGCAGAGAATATTTTTATCCAACGTGATTGATCAAAGAATATTTGCCACTGTTGAAAAACGACTCGAGCGTTATCTTTCAATGTGAAAAGTTGTCTTATATTCAACAGTAGAGAGGTTGAGATTTCATACGTGTACGTCTAGTAGGGGAATTCCATAAATTTCTTGCGTACGTCATCAGTTTTGGTGTTGATAAGTTTTCTACACGTTCCTACAACTTGTAAAAAGGCATCTACACGTAGGTGTGAACGTGTAGCTTTTTCAATAAAAACTAGTCAATTTGTGTGTGAAACTGTTATTGTTTTTAATTATTTAGGATGTTATTTTTCATGAACACTTATTTTAACCATATTTTGTTCATTAACTAAAGTTAAACTAATAGAGAGGTTGAGATCTTAAACTTGTACGCGTACGTGTACGTGTGCATATACTTTGACCTACACGTACACGTTTTTTTGTAATTTGTCTGTTGAGATTTTCATGACGTGTAACATGTACGTGTACACTGCGATTGGTTTCTCTGATTCACCTATTAAGAAGTTTTGTGACGTCAGTTTGATTTTAGTAAGTAAACAAAACATGGTTAAAATAAGTGCCCATGAAACTAAGCTTCCTTAATAATGTACAATAATCACATTTTCACACATAAATTGACTCATTTTTATTATAAAGGCTACAAGTTTTCACTTACGTGTAGATGCCATTCTACAAGTTCTAGGAACGTGTAGAAAACTTGTCATCGCTAAAATTGATGACGTAATACGCGAAAAATTTAGGGAATTCCCCTACTAGACGTACACGTAAACGTATGAAATCTCAACCTCTCTAATGTCACGAAACTACAAAATAGTTGAAACAGAGACACCGATTACAGTCTACACGTTCATGTTACACGTCATTAAATCTCAATAGACAAATTTCAAACAACGTGTACGTCAAAGTTTGTACACACGTACACGTACGCGTACAAGTTTAAAATCTCAACCTCTCTAAATTATTTCTCAAAGTGCCCCCTGTACTTTTGAATTATACATATATTGTAGATAAACACTACATCTTCATTCAGCCTCCCTTGTACGATACTACTGTATCTTCAGTGATGTAGGTAATTCAAGGTGTTTTGCCCACTGTACATTGACTTGTATATCCCGAACTGTGTAGTTTTAGAGTTTAAGTACTTGGTAAAACTTATATTTGTTGAAATGTAGAGTTTTTGAAAGATTAATTTTCTTCGATTTTTCTCTATATTTACATTCTGTCTTATGTGTCTTTTTAAAAACTTGTTTCTTTTTGATTAGCAAAAGTAAATTATAAGAATTGAAACATCCTCTTTCATGTTGTTCATTTATATTTCGAAGTACAGTGTATCAGTATATAATAAATACTGATTTTATGAATAAGAGAAATTTTTAAGTCTAAGATTGCTTTGTGTTCCTGGGACCTGAATATCACATTTAGACTTGAATTAAATTCGCTTTGACTTTACTCATATTGAGCAGATTGACTGAAATAAATTGTCTTTTTCATCAAATTGTAAATATATAACCGACTTCGATTCGACGCTGGTCGTCTAGCTCTTGGTATGCTACTCCTTCCGTATATTGTCCGTTAATTTCGTAATTTTTAATCCGCCCAGAAAATTGAAATATATCACTTAAATCAAACTTAATTCTTCTTGGTTATTGAAAAATGATCTGTACAACAGTTATGTTTATAAATGGACGATCAAAAATAGGTAACACCAAGTAATGAAAAATGCACCGATGGTTTCAAATACTAATGCAGATGATACATTTTTTTTTTAATGAAGAGTTTTTCTAAATTAAAATAATTAAAAAAAATGAAAAACTGCTGTCTAAAAATGACAGCATTAGATCTAGGAATAGAGGCATCAGTAGGTATCGGGAGATAAACACAGTTCTTTGTGTATATTCATCCAGTCTCTTTTTTGACAATCTTTGGAACAGTATACCGCTACTTTACACCGTGAACATTTTTTTAATACATTATGAGACGATTTCTTTCCACATTCCCAACATTGAGATGTAGTTTGTGTTGACGGCTCATTTACAGAAACAGAGAATTTCAGACTCACATACGCCTTGATCTTTTGGAAGTATGACTTCAGTTGTATTTTGTTTTGCATAATGGCGAGTGCTTTCTCTGGATTTTGCAAATCCCATCTAAAGGCTTTTATGACATGATCACCGACGCCAAGATTTTCTGTGACTTCATCTCCAAGGTAAAGATCATTCTCCTCCTCTGGATTTTTCTCGACAAACATAGCTTTCGTTTTCAAAAGAAAAAGTTGCTCTGATGAAAAGTCCTCTACAAATGTATTGTCAACCACGTGACCTTGCACGTCCAACCAGACGTGAGCTAGTTTAATTCCTCCGTGATGCTGAGCGTCAAGAATGCCATAAACTATTCTACTCTGAATACCCATTGCAGTTAGACATCGATGCAAGATCAGATTAATCTTGCTGCAGGCATTGCTTACTCGCAGTGACTTTTGCAGGCCCATGCTGGTTGACAACAGCTCACGAATATCCTTTGCTCGTGTTATATCGTCTGGCACACCAAATGGAGACTTGGTGAAATTGAAATCCATTTTTGATAGGGGTTACTGGTATTGAGGAACTACAAAGAGATATTCGTATACTCAAAGTACCTTAGTTTAAGACACCCCTTTCCCCAATCTCTTTGCTCAAATTAAACTAGAATATATTCAATACGAAATTTCATAATAATAATGATAAAAAAAAGAAACGGATGTGTTTATCAAGGCCGTAACTAGGCTCAAATTTTTAGTGTGGCAAGGGAACTTGGGGCCACCCGAGTCCCAAGCGGGTCCAGGGTAGTGTCCTGATAAGGATTTTCGGGGGAAGGGGGGAGCTCCCGATACAAGGGCACCGTTTTACAAAAGAACTTACGACTAAGACCGAAATGAAATTTTGCAAATAACTTTCTAGCTTATATATATATTTAAGATGGTTTTAATCTTTTATACAAGAATTAAGAAAGATGTTTTTAGACTAGTAATTTTTAACTGAATCATCAATTTGCAAAATTTTACAATCCACTTAAGTTTTTGGTCACTGTCATAAGTTCTATTGTAAAACGGGCTCCTGGGTTTAGTAAATTAAAGACAACCTTTGAAAGTTTTAATTTCACGTTTTGAATGATTTGTACATGCGTTCTAAACTGTAATGAAACACCTGGTAAGATGATAGATTTACAGAAATTGAAACAAAAGTTGAAAGTATTAATTTAGTACAAAGACACACATAATTAATTCAAGTTCAAAGTAAAACTTTTTTCATTTTTAAGAAAACTCTCAAATTTTAGTGAGGCATCTGCCTCACTTGCCTCAATGGTAGTTACGGCCTTGATTTATGTGTTTATTTAACAAGCAGAACATCTTTAAAATATAAACAGTTGCAGTCTCGAAATACTATAATTTACTGTACATTGTATCAAATATGTTGGCTGGTGAATAGAACGACAGCGTATACGTAACATTCCAATTCTGCAAGTTTTGTTTCAACTTTTTTAAATATATTTTTTACATTGTTGGTACAATTTCTTAAATTGTAAGTCAGTATCCTTCCAGGGCTTCCGTAGATTATACATTTTTTATTGTTTGTAGAATTTAGAAAATGATTGTACGATTTTTTAAAAATGTTTGTACAGGTTAATAAAATTGTTGATAGAAGTTAGGAAAATTCCGATGTAAATTTATGTAATTCTCCTACAGCTACGACGGTTGTTCGAAAAGTTCACGGACTTGTGACGTACCTTTTTTCCTTAATCCATATTACATGTATATCCAAATTTGGTAGACTTGTTTTAACAATAAATTCCAAAGATTTGTATTAAAAGAATATAATAAATTATGAGGTATTATGATCTAAGATTTAAAACTACGAAAAGTGGGTCCAGGAGTAGATCAAAATTTCACAAAATCACAAAGTTTAAGATTTCTTAAATAGTTTTAATGTTTTCACTAGGAAATTCAAACATTGATTTTTTTTTTTGTGGTTTGATACTGTGCTTTGATAAAATTCGAGTTAAATATCTAATGTAGTAAATGGTGTTAAAACGTTAAAACAATGCTATGGCTTTAATTCAGCGTTATTTTGTAATATTATACTTTCATGTAAATTAGTTAAATCTGATTCGCCGAGAAACATTTGTTTAAAAAAACACTATTACCCGCTAAATGATGAAGCCACGCCCTCCAGCGTAGCAACAGTCAACATTGCTTGACAACAAGTGATATTCCAAAAAATAGTGACTGCGTAGAATTTATGAGCGCAAGTTTCATTGATATATGTTTTTGTATTAACTATTAAACAATCAGTACAATGTAATAAATATTGCATGTAGTTGAGTGTAACATTGAAAATTTTCACCCCAAGAAAACCATTGTCAACCGAGGCGCAGTTGAGGTTGACAATGGTTTTCTTGGGTGAAATTTTTCAATGTTACACTCAACTTCATGCAATATTTATTAATATTTATATACCAACACCGTTCGCAACGTCTGCATCAGAAGACACTCGGTATGTGAGGAAAGCCAATATTAGAAAAAAAAAATATCAAAAGAGTTAGTATAATGTCATTAAAAGAGATATAGGCGCTTCACTGTTGCGTATCTTGTGAAAGTAGAGTTACGAGGTAAAAAATTAAAACACTGATTTGACAAACGAACTCGTGCTTCTGGAATTTTTGTTAACGCTGGTAAAGAAACGCTGTTAATTGGTATGGCGCTAGACTGGTGTGAAATATATAGTGAGAGTATTTTTGAGAGACTCATGTCGTTAGTTTTTATGCCCCAGGATCGAAAGATCCCGGGGATATATTGTTTTGGTCCTGTTTGTCTGTTTATCTGTTTGTCTGTTTATCTGTTTGTCCGTTTGTCTGTCTGTCTGTTGTTAACTTTAACCTTGCCCATAACTTTTGATTGGTTGGAGCTATGACTTAAATATTTCACATATGTATTCCTTGTGACAAGATCTTTCTTTGGGAACCATCATTTTTGACCTTGACCTTGGAGTTTGACCCACTTTTGCAAAATTTTATGAGACTTTAACCTTGGCCATAACTTCTGAACAGTTGGTGCTTGGGGTTTCAAACTTCACATGTGTATTCTTTGTGACACGACCTTCCTTTGGATACCAACAACTTTGACCTTTTGACCTTGGAGTTTGACCTACTTTTGAAAAACTTTAACCTTGGCCATAACTTTTGAACAGTTGGTGCTTGGGATTTCAAACTTCACAGGTGTATTCCTTGTGACAAGACATTCCTCTGGATATCAACCTTTTTGACCCTTTGACCTTGACCTAGGAATTTGACCTACTTTTGAAAAACTTTAACCTTGGCCATACCTTTTGAACGGTTAGAGCTAGGGCTTTCATACTTCACATATGTAATCCTTGTGACAAGACCTTTGTTTGGATACCAACCACTTTGATCTTTTGACCTTGACCTAGGAGTTTGACCTACTTTTGAAAAACTTTAACCTTGGCTAAAACTTTTAAATGGTTGATGCTAGGGCTTTCATACTTCACATATATAATCCTTGTGACGTCACCTTCCTTTGGATACTATCCACTTTGACCCTTTGACCTTGACATAGAAGTTTGACCTACTTTTAAAAAACTTTAACCTTGGCCATAATTTTTGAATGGTTGGTGCTAGGGCTTTCATACTTCACATATGTAATCCTTGTGACAAGACCTTCCTTTGGGTACCAACCACTTTGACCCTTTGACCTTGACATAGGAGTTTGACCTACTTTCGAAAAACTTTAACCTTGGCCATAACTTTTAAATGGTTGGTGCTAGGGCTTTCATACTTTACATATGTAATCCTTGTGACAAGACCTTCCTTTGGATACCAACAACTTTGACCTTGACCTTGATGTTTTACTTACTTTTAAAAGACTTTAACCTTCGCCATAACTTTTGAACAGTTGCAGCTAGGGCTTTCAAATTAAACATTTTTTATCTTTTGGCCTGGATTTTGACTTGCATTTGAGAAACTTTAACCTTCCCAATAAGCTGCCATACGGGGGCATCAGTGTTTCACAAACACATCTTGTTACACAATGTTGTTAAGGGTGTATCTTGGTAAAAAAAATGATTTTAGTATTAAGTTACATGAATTCTATTTAATTATATGGAATGAAACTTCACACTTCAATAACATAAACATGTTTATTAGCTAAAATTCTTTTAAACCGTTGATTTCATTTACAACAAGAAAATTTTTCTAAATCATTTAGATACAGTGAAAACAGGAGAGATGATAGGTTTTCACCCTGTACAAGGAAAAAAAAATATCAGAATTTTGTCCATTACAAAATACCTTGGTTGTCAAGTATGTGGTTTATCTATTCTCAATTCTTTTGAAGATGTAATCATACATTGACTTCTTTGTCACTAGAATTCAATAAAAATCAATCAAGAAAAAAAGCACTAAATGAAAGTTTTTGCATTTTTAAATGCATCACTATGGCGCCATTATTTGAGAGAAATATGTACATGTATATAATAATGAACATATCCTTCTCTCTAAAAAATCTTTTTTAAAAATTGCATGTTGGTTTTTAACTATTGTGTAATGGTATTTTTTTTTCATCTTCCACAGCATAAGAACAAATAACATATACATATACAGGTACATGTAATTGTAAATGTACTTAAGAAGACAAAAAAGTACAAAGATTAAAAACAGTACAAGTTATTATGCCCCTGGATCGAAAGATCCTGGGGTATATTGTTTTTGACCTGTCTGTCTGTTTGTTTGATTGTCTGTCTGTTGTCAACTTTAACCTTGCCCATAACTATTGATTGGTTAGAGCTATGACTTTCATATTTCACATGTATATTTCTCGTGACAAGACCTTTCTTTGGATACCATCATATTTGACCTTTTGACCTTGACCTTGGAGTTTGACCCAGTTTTGCAAAATTTTATAAGACTTTAACCTTGGCCATATCTTCTGAACAGTTGGTGCTTAGGGTTTCAAACTTCACATGTGTATTCCTTGTGACAAGTCCTTCCTTTGGATACCAACAACTTTGACCTTTTGACCTTGACCTTGGAGTTTGACCTACTTTTGAAAAACTTTAACCTTGGCCATAACTTTTGAACAGTTGGTGCTTGGGGTTTCAAACTTCACATGCGTATTCCTTGCGACAAGACCTTCTTCAGGATATCAACCTTTTGGACCCCTTGACCTCGACCTAGGAGTTTGACCTACTTTTGAAAAACTTTAACCTTGGTCATAACTTTTGAACGGTTGGAGTTAGGGCTTTCATACTTCACATATGTAATCCTTGTGACAAGACCTTTCTTTGGATACCAACCACTTTAACCTATTGACATTGACCTAGGATTTTGACCTACTTTTGAAAAACTTTGACCTTGGCCATAAACTTTGAATGGTTGATGCTAGGGCTTTCATACTTCACATATGTATTCCTTGTGATATCACCTTCCTTTGGATACCAACCACTTTGACCTTTTGACCTTGACATAGGAGTTTGACCTACTTTTGAAAAACTTTAACCTTGGTCATAACTTTTGAATGGTTGATGCTAGGGCTTTCATACTTCACATATGTATTT